CCCGGCCTCCCAAGTAGCTGGGAGGCCAGGCGCAGGCCACCACCCCGGGGTATTTTTTTGCTGCGTGGGGAGGTCTCACTACTTTACCTAGGCTGAACTCGAGCTCCTGGCCTCAAGCGACCCTCCTGCCAGGGTCTCCTGAGTAGCTGGGATTACAGGCAGGAGCTAAGGGAGGTGTTTTCGATGAGGAATTGTAATTACTCCTGAATTGAAGTCTCGGGCAGCCCCAGCCACGTGGGCTGATGAGCTCCTGATGTGTGCTGGCCCCAACGAAAATGTGCAGTGCCAAGCACATCCCGATTTAGAAGATACAGTAAGAAAGGAAACTGTGAAACTGCGCTAACCATGGCTTATATTGATTACATATTAAAATGACTATTAGGTATGTTGAGTTAAAGTATATTGTTCAAATTAACTTCACGTGTTGCTTTTTACGGTTTTGAAATGGCAATCAGAAAATGTTTAACTACGGGGCGTGGGCGGTGGCTCACACCTGTAATCCCAGCACTTTGGGAGCCAAGGCGGGTTGATCACTTGAGGCCAGAGTTTGAGACCAGCCAGGCAAACATGGTGAAACCCCGCCTCTACTAATACAAAAACAAAAAATTAACCAAGCGTGGTGGCATATGCCTGCAGTCCCAGCTACTTGGGAGACCGAGGTGGGACAATCACTCGAACCCGGGAGGTGGAGGTTGCAGTGAACCAGGATCATGCCACACTGCACTCTAGCTTGGGCAACAGAGTGAGACCCTGTCTCAAAAAAAGTTTCTGCAGCTGGGCTTGTTAACTTATGCCTGTAATCTCAGCACCTCAGGAGGCCAAGGCTGTTGACCAACCTGGGCAACCCAAGATTCTGACCAAAAAAAATTAGCTGTGGTGGTATGCAACTATAGTCCAAGCTACTCGAGAGGCTGAAGTGGGAGGAAATCACATCATATGAGAAGGAAAGAAATCAGTTTCCCTATCGAAGGGAAAATAACCCTCGTCAGAATTACAGAACCTCGAGTTTTGGAGTCTCGAGCTTCACAGGACCTGCCCCAACTTTTGGGGCCCATTCCCCAGTGAGGCCGATGCACGAGAAATGCTGACCTGCCACACTGGGCTCTGTGCGGTGGTGTGGAGTCCGCTGTCTGCAGTCCGCTCTAAGGCAGGGTGGCCAGGATCTGGGCCTCAGGCCCTAGGAAATGCCAGGGTTCGATAAAGCCCAGAGTGAGTGAGAATTGATTGAGACTGCAGTTCTTTAATAGGTAGGAGTTCCAGTCCACTCTGCAGATTTCTGGGCCCACTTCCTCACAGGTGAAGGACACACGCTAGGTAAGTCAAATCAGCTTGCTTCCCTTCAGCATGTTTCAAAGGACTCTAAGGGATAGTGAAAGTGCATCAAGAGTTCAAAACCTTTTATTTGACTTTTTAAATGTTATTTTTAAAAGTCCAATAAAAGTCAGTGTATACACTACGTGTGCTATATTCCAGAAGTTTTAGAGACCATGATGTTGTGTTGAATTCTGCTGCCAGGTTAGCCCTCTTAGGGGAAGACCTTTGAATAAAGCCTCTCCTATGAGCTTAAATGAAGAGTTGAGGACATTTTCACAATAAATGAGACTCCAGGGCCAACATGACAAAACCCCATCTCTACTAAAAAATACCACCCCACCTCCCTGGCCTGCTTGCCAGTTGCTTCCTATCTGTGTGTTCTGGCCCCCGAGTCTCCCCCAGTGCCTAAACTCGCCTTCGCTGAGAACGCTCCTGTCACCCCCCAGGGGGGAAGGAGGGGCAGCAACAGCCAACGAAGCTGAGAGTCTCAGGAGCTCACAGCGTGTAGAGCTGAGAGCCTCGAACAGACACTGACCCACACATTTATTCTCTCTGAACAGGTGATCATTATTAACAAACAGGTGTTCTGTATTTTCTCGTAACACAAAATATGCCAAGTAGGCAGCTGGTGCCCACTTAACACTAATCACAGACAAACTAAAAAGTTTTCTCCACGAGGGAGCCACGGGGGCAAGGTCAGATTATCTTAAAGAATTGTTTTAACCGGTGGATGATATTTATATATTGTCCTGCCACTTTGGAATGCCCGAAGCAGTTTTCTACTTGGGGGGGCAGGGGAGTGCGGCTAGGTTTTCCTTGCCATCCGTCTTCCAAGCAAACAATAGATTCTATGATACACTCAGCACTTCTCCACAGAGAAAGCCATATGGCCGGGCGTGGTAGCTCATGCCTGTAATCCCAGCACTTTGGGAAGCCGAGACAGGCGGATCACCTGAAATCAGGAGTTTGAGACCACCCTGGCCAAGATGGTAAAACCCCATCTCTACTAAAAATACAAAAAATTATCAGGGTGTGGTGGCATGCACCTGGAGTTCCAGCTACTCAGGAGGTTGAGGCAGGAGAATAACTTGAACTCTGGAGGCAGAGGTTGCAGTGAGCTGAGATTGTACCATTGCACCCCAGCCTGGGTGACAAGAGCAAAACTCATTAAAAAAAAAAAAAAAAGCCGGGTGCTGTGGCTCATGCCTGTAATCCTAGCACTTTGGGAGGCCGAGGTGGGTGGATCACCTAAGGTCAGGAGTTCAAGACCAGCCTGGCCATCATGGTGAAACCCCATCCTTTAAAAAGAAAGCCGTATAGTCAATGACTCTCGCGGTGAAAGAATTTGGTCAGGTTCTTATTTTTGTTTATTTATGTGTGTGTTCTGGGGAATAGGCACTGAGGTTCTTTCTAAGGCTTTATGTTAGGGATAGAGCTCCATTCTGAGCTGTTATAATTTTTTTTTTTTTTTAATTTTAGTAGATATGGGTTTTCACTATGTTGGCCAGGCTGGTCTCAAACTCCTGACCTCAGGTGATCTGCCTGCCTTGGCCTCCCAAAGTGCTGGGATTATAGGTGTGAGCCACTGCGTCCAGCCTTAGTGTTTTTTTTTTTTTTTAATTTTTTATTTCCATAGGTTATTAGGAAACAGGTGGCATTTGGTTCCATAGGTTCTTTAGAGATTTGTTTTTTTGGTGCAGCCATGTATATATACGTACACTGAATCCAATTTGTAGTCTTTTATCCCTTGCCCTCTTCCCACCCTTTCCCCCTCAGTTCCCCTGAGTCCCCAGAGTCCATCTTGGTTGTTTTTTTGTGACAGTGTCTGGCTCTGTCACCCAGGCTGGAGTGCAGTGGCACAATGTCAGCCCACTGCAACATTCGCCTCCCAGGTTCAAGTGATTCTCGTGCCTCAGCCTCCTGAGTAGCTGAGATTACAGGTGTGTGTCACCATGCCCAGCTAATTTTTTGTATTTTTAGTACAGACAAGGTTTTGCCATGTTGGCCAGGCTGGTCTTGAACTCCTGAGCTTGGTCAAGCCTCCTGCCTCGGCCTCCCAGAGTGCTAGGATTACAGGTGTGAGCCACTGTGCCTGGTCCATTGTGACATTCTTATGCCTTTGCATCCTCAGAGCTTAGCTCCCACTTATGAGTGAGAACACGTGAAGTTTGCTTTTCCATTCCTGAGTTACTTCACTTAGAATAATAGTCTCGAGTTTCATCAAGGTTGCCGCGAATACCATTCATTCGTTCCTTTTTACAGCTGAGTAGTATTCCATCATAGATATGCTCTAAATTCTCATGAACTGAAAATCTTTTAGGACCTAGGGTCAAACCTGCCCCTACCACATACATTTCCCAAACCCTGTCTCCAGCACCCCTTAGGGTTCAATGACATTGACATTTTCCCAAACAGCCTTGGAGCTCTTTGTGGACAAGGGGCAATGCCAGCCTCATCACTGCTGTGTTCCTCATGCCCAGAGCAGGGTAAGCCCCCAGCATTTTCTGAATGCTTAGTATCAGGTATGCGTGCAGAGACCTTCTCTCTCTGTCTGCAGCTTCTAGTCTGTCCTCCTCTGCTTCCCCTTCACTGACCGAGGGACCTGTTGGGAAGGCCCTGGAAAGCTGAATGCCGTCTCCATTCTCCACTCATTACTGTGGCTCTGGGCTTCAGAAGAAATGTCTCTGTCCCACCATTTCTCCTTTGCTAAGAAGATGACAGTCTGTCCTGTTGCCCTCATAGGTTTGCTGAAGGGATAAAATGATGTGGATGCAGCAGATTCCTACAATGTAAAACAATTGCTCACATGTGAGGGATTCTTACCCACTTTGCTGGTTTCAGCCACAGGGGCTAGAAACTCAACTCGAGGACTCAGGCCAGGCCCCAGCTCCTGTCTCAGGTTCGTAAGTTGAGCACCCTCCAACTCACCTGGTCCCTCCAAGCACAGGCCTCTTCCTGTGCCCACACGTGGTTCCGCTCCAGCCAGGTGAGGCCAGCCCCTCCCCACGTAAGCACCCACATCTGCAGGCAGTCGTCGTCCTTGCCTTTCACTCAGATCTGCAGCCCCTCTCCCACCCCCAACCCGCAACTGCAATTCCCTGTCTATTACCCTTCGGAGGCCTTGCCAAGTCAACGAAGACCAGATTCCCATCTTCCCCTCTTGGCCTCCCCTTGACTCATCCTCCAGCTGCCATTTCTCCATTCCTTAGTTTCCCCTGCCTGTTTCTTGGCAATCTGCTCACCGTACATTCACACCCCGCTGACCTTTTCTGTGTGTCTGGCCTCCCCATTGGACTGTGAGCCCCCTGCCTCTTGGGAGGTGTGATCATGTCCGATGTTGAGCTTGGGCACAAGGCAAGCACGTCAGACCTTGGTGGAGGGCTAAGGCCGTCTTTCCTCCCATCCTGTTCTCTACTGGCTCCTCCCTGAGATGTGAGTTCCCTCTGGTCCCAAACACAAGGGTTCCTGCCCCCATCAGAGTCCGTGAAGGAGAGGCAGACAGGCCCCTACCTAGACAGCTCCTCCTCCTGTGGCCTGGGCTTGGGGGAAGATTGCGTGACTGCCTCTCCTCCCGTCCAACCCTAGGTGGCCTCTGCATTTGAACTCTGACTCCTAGGGCTTCTCTAGGCCTGATATTAATTGCCCCGTTCACCCAGATCTGGTGGCTCATAAGAAACAGACAGATGTAGGGACCCAATGCAACCTTTTAATTCCAAGCAGAGTCCCCCTCCCCCAGCATGGTCACACACACAGTGGAAAGGGATGCCAGGGTCTGGACAAGAGCAATACCCAGACCTAGGCAAAAATATAGATATCATTATATACACATGTGGACTGGAGAGAAGTCAAGCTGGGGGTGTCAGGTAGGGCAGGGGCAGGTGAAGAAAGCAGCTGGGGGGGCCCCAATAAATTACATTCTTAAGAGAGCATAGTGTGGGGATGCATGGGTGTGGGTGACAGCTGGTAGCCAGAACACTCCAAAATGTGCCAGGCCTGGCCTCTGGACCCCATCCAAGGGAGGCGGAAGGCCCAGCTTCAGCCCAGTGCCTGGCTTGCTGCTGGAATTTCCATTGCATGGCCCAGAGGCAGGTGGAGAGCCAGGGTTGTGTGTAGACGGCTTCTCCACCCTAAGCTGAGGCTTCTGGGGAAGCCACAGGGCTGGGGCAAGAGGCTTCGAAGCTCAGGGATTACAATAGGAGGTCAGGGCAAGCTGAAGGAGTCGGGGTAACCTCCCTGCCGGAGGCTGAGCTAGGGCCTGTTCCCACTAGAGTCGGAGGAGCAAGAGGCTACAGTGCAGGAAAGGTGTCACGAGTGAGCACGGGACGGCTGGGTGGGCAACACCAGAACCTGGAACTCTTTCTGCCTGACTGCTTCCCACCCCTACGTCTTCCCTCCAGCTGTTCAAGACAGACCTGACCACCAATGCCCCTCATCCCTCCTCACCCTCTGCTGGGGGTCCTTCATGTGGAGTGAGGGTCAGGAAGGGGGCACAAATAGAACCTCTGTGTCCTGGAGCCCAGGCTTGCTTTGCCCTGTGCAGGGAGGGCCAGGGAGGAGAGCAAGAGGCTCCCAGGCATGAAGGGAAGAAAGTCCGTGTTCACTGCCCAGGACCACAGAGGCCTCGGCCCCCGCTCTACCTGAGGACAGGAGGCCACCCTACTTCCATCCCACCTCCTGCCCCTCCCATCCCTCAGGGAAGAACCCTGAAGCAGCAGGGGGGAGGGGCCGTCCCGGAGCAGGTGAGGGCTATCAGAAGAGAGAGGCCTTCTTCTTGAGCTCATTCCGCTTCCACAGAGCCAGCTTGCCAAACTCTTCAGGGGACATGGCAAACACCCTTGAGAAGTCCTCTGCAGACAGATGCCTCTGCACGGGAAAGCGGAGGGAATGGGGCAGCTCAGCATGGGGAGGGGACACTCATTGAAAGAGGCCCCAGGACTTCCCACGGCCGGAGAGTGCCCGTGGGGTGCCCCCCCAACCCAGGGCATCCTTCTTGCCTACCTCCAGCCGCATCCGATCCACACCCGGTGGCAGCTTGGTTCGCCCCTTGTTGGTCACCATTAGCATTTCATAGGGATAGATCTGGGGGCAGGGGGAGGGGAACTTAGGCTCACAGAATGTCATCAACGGACCCCCTTCGACTCCCTAGGCCCCCCCATCAACCTGCAGAGGCCACTAGGGTTCATGCCATCTTGTCCTCTGTCTCCCCCATTATCCCTGCCATCCCTCCCATTTTCAACATCAGGAGAACCCCACAGCACATTCCACTTGCCTGGCCTCTCCCCAGCCTCCCGCCCCGCTGCAGGCGCTGGGTCCCCTGCCCCTCACCTTCTGCTCCAGCACACAGGGCAGGGAGTTCCCCCGGTCCATCCTCCCCCTCTGGCCCTCTCCGTTCTGGGGAGACCAAAGCCGCAGTGAGCCAGAGTGGGGCAGGGAGACCTTCCCAGCCTTACCCCAGCTTCTTCTTCACCAGGCAACTCTGTGGCCCCACAACCCCCCACCCCAACTTCCAGGCACCAGGACCCGGCTTCTGCTGCTCCGCCTGTTCCCCTTCAGGAGGCGCTCACCTGCAGGCCTGCGAAAGAGAAGGCGCAGGGTTCAGAGGCAGCTCCCAGCTAAGCAGCCCAGCACATCGGACCTCCCAGACCCCTGCGCACAGTCCAGACACCGGCCGCCCAGGGTCCCCTGTAAGCCCCTTCCTCAGATCCCGGCACCAGGCTCCAATTCTCACCTGGGCTTCCAGTTTCACTCCCCGATGGGCTGAATTCTGTGGACTGTAGCTAGAAAGGAGGCCAAGAAATCAGAGACAGTTGGGGACATTCGCCTTTGGTCCCCTTCACTTTGTGGGTCTCCCCGCTCCCTGAGGGTGCCCAAGTGGCACCGTGCCTCAGCACCCACATGCACGCCGCTCCCATGTAGTCTATAGCTCTGGTCCTGAGACCTTACCCGGCTCAGGGTGGTCCTGCCATAGGCGGGGAGAGAGGAAGATTTAGACGTTCCCTGGTGCAAGGCTGGAAGAGAGCAAAGGCCCTGGGCTCAGTCCCTTTGGCCCCAACAGCCCTTCATGAGAGAGCTCCCACACCTGGGGCAAGGCAGGAGGGGGTCACGCTTATGGGAAGCTGGTGGGCTTCTCCCAGTTCCCAGCTCCTGCTGGCCACCTTCAGCAAGCAGTACAGTGCTGGCAAGTCTCAGCTGTCTCTACCACCATCCTCCTTCTCTCTAACTAGACGTGGCCCAAATATACAACAGGGCCCAATGCCTGAGTGTGAAGATTGAGTCAGCTGGAGCCAAAGCTCACATCCAAAACTGAACCTCTGGAATACACAAAGAAATTTAAATCGCCGGGCATGGTGGCTCACACCTGTAATCCCAGCACGTTGGGAGGCCAAGGCAGGCAGGTCACATGAGGTCAGGCGTTCGAGATCAGCCTGGCCAACATGGCGAAACCCTGTCTCTACTAAAAATACAAAATAAGGCAGGCGTGGTGGTGCACATCTGCAGTTCCTGCTACTTGGCAGGTTGAGGCTGGAGAATCGTTTGAACCTGGGAGGTGGAGGTTACAGTGAGCCGAGATTGCGACACTGCACTCCACCCTGGGCCACAGAGTGAGGGGCTCCATCTAAAAAAAAAAAAATCTAAAATTGAATCACAATAATTACATTATTATAATTTTGTTAACAATGTTAGTAATAAAATCTAAAAAAACTTTTATAGAGGTAGGTTCTCACTGTGTTGCCCAGGCTGGACCTGAACTCCTGGACTCAAGTAATCCTCCTGCCTCTGCCTCTGCCTCCCAAGTACTGGGGCTACAGGCATGGGCCACCTGCCCAGTTAGTAATCATATTTATTTATTATTTATTTTTTTTATTATTTATTATTTTTGAGATAGGGTCTCGGTCTGTCACCCAGGCTGAAGTGCAGTGGTGTGATCATACCTCACTGTAGCTTCGACCTCCCCAGCTCAAGTGATTCTCCCATCCCAGCCTCCTCAGTAGCTGGGACTAGAGGCATGCACCATCATACCCAGCTAATTTTTTCTTTTTTTTTTTTTTTTTAAAAGAAACCAGGCCTCACTCTGGTACCCAGGCTGGCCTTGAACTCCTGGGTTGAAGCAATCCTCCCACCTTGGCTTCCCAAAGTGTTGGATTACAGGTGTCAGCTACTATGCCTCACCTAGGAATTGAATTTTAACAGTCTGACATTATACTACAGAAAGTCATGCTGTCAGCACTGTCGCTGGGGATTGTACCAGCAGTCAACTTCACATCAGCATTACTGGACCTCAGCCTCAACTCACACACTTAATAGGATCTCTACATTCTCAAATACTGCAGATTAGAATTCAAGAAAGTTTGTGTCCAGTAATATGTTTTCCTAGAAATAACTTTGTACCTAAGATTCTTAGCTTGAGGTGATCTCAAAACACCTTCTCCAATTACAAGAAATAACAGGCATCTATAGCAACTGTTTCCACAAGTATTTTTGTGTAAGTAGTTAACTTCCATAGGTTCAAAACTATGAGAACTATCTTCTTAAAATATTCCTTTTTTTTTTTTTTTTTTTTTTGATACAGAGTCTCACTCTGTTGCCCAGGCTGGAGTGCAATGGCAGGGTCTTGGCTCATTGCTACCTCCACCTCCTGGGCTCAGCCTCTGGAGTAGCTGGGATTACAGGCACCTGTCACCACACCTGCTAATTTTTGTATTTTTGTTAGAAACAGAGTTTCACCATGTTGGCCAGGCTGGTCTCGAACTCTTGAGCTCAGGTGATCCACCTCCCAAAGTGCTGGGATTACAGGCATAAACCACTGCATCCAGCCTCTTCTTAAAATATTCCTATGAAATTTGTTGCTTGGAAGAGTTTGATTATCAAGAACAAAACCTCATTTCTCCCCCAACACTTAATTTTGAAAATAGCTTTCACAATAACCATTCACTATTGAAGCATTTTACTCTTGCAATAAAGTATACATTTATTCAACCGATAGAATTTCAACCTTCAAACCCTGCACAAAGATTTTCCCCTCCAGATTGCTTATAGAATGCTTACGTGTGTTCCAGAGCGACTATTCCAGTGTCACCATTAAATCAGCATGACATACCTGTTCATGATTCTAGAATTCAGGTTGTTTTAATATATCAGTAACCTATGCAGTCATGTGATCATTAATCACCCACAAATTCAGGGACGCCAAAGATGACGGGGACAGAAGTAGCTGCAAGGCCGGTTGCCTCGCTGGGAGCTCGGACAGGCCCATCCCTCTCCACGCCTGAAATTACGTCACCAGAATCTGCACTCAGCATCTAGCTTCGCCACGCCCACCTCTGCACGCAACAGTAAACTCTGCACCCGGCACCTAGCCCGCCGTTGGAAATCCCCTCTGCGCTTAGCACCAGGATCTGCACACGACACTAAACAGCACGTAGGCCAGCCGTTGGAAAACCCCGCCAAAATTTAAAAGAAGCCCGGCCAAACCCTGCCCAATAGTGTATGGCCCTGTCCCGCCCGCTCACCGGAAATCCCGCCTACCTACCTCTAGCAGCTTGCCACGTCCCCGTCCTATTTCTCCACAGCCAATCAGAGCGCCTTCCCTCCCTATATAACCCCAGGCCTGAGAGGACTCAGGTGTGACTTCCCCGGCCTCTTGCCCCAGGACCAGGGAATCTGGCCTGGAGCGTCTAATTGTTCTCATGCAGGCCTCAGTTTCCTCATTTTAAACTCGGCAATATACCTCACGAGAACAAACCTTACAGTAGGCATCTGGTGTTTGACTTCAGGAGGCCAAAATGGAAGTTAAAGAGCTAATCTGAGCTGAATGGGAGATGCTGGCAGAACACTGACCCTGAATAATCCAACCTTCAGGCAACCTCTGTCCACATCAGTCTTCCGGCCTTAAATCTTGATTCCACATTCTCTAAAAAACCTCTGCAGCTCTTCCCCCCACAGAGACAGCATTCTGAGAGCTCTCCCTAACCGCCTGTTAACCCTGAGGTCCTTGCATTCCCCAGTTGCAGTGGGTTTCACCTCTGCTCCACATAAGACAACCCTTTCGAAGGGTCACGCCCAGGATCTTGTCATCGGCCACCACCCGCTGCCTAGAAACCGTCAGCTGGGACCGTTCGCTCTGTGGCTTTGGCTCAGCTCCATCCCTACCACGCACAGCTCACCAACCTCAGGGAGACCGCCCCTCCTGCCTCCCCCCCCACCTGCCTTCTGTCGCTACCTTCTCAGCTTCAGCCCTGTGGCTGGGCCCCGTAACTACTGTCATCAGCTCCTCCTCGGTGTAGCCTGGACCCTCAGCGCCTTCCTCACAAAACGCTCACTCAGGGCCAACCCAGCAGCTGCCCTCCTGCCCCGGCTGTGGACATACAGCCCACTTTGGAGTGATGAGCACCACAGCAAAGGCCAAGCCTCCCTGCACAGTAGTTCCAGATCCCCTCATCAAGTCTCCACACCAGGCGTCCCCAGACTTTTTACACAGGGGGCCAGTTCACTGTCCCTCAGACCGTTGGAGGACCGCCACATACTGCGCGCCTCTCACTGACCACCAATGAAAGAGGTGCCCCTTCCTGAAGTGCGGCGGGGGGCCGGATAAAGGGCCTCAGGGGGCCGCATGCAGCCCACGGGCCGTAGTTTGGGGACGCCTGCTCCAAACCTTCTCACCAAACCCTCTCTCCATTCCTACCAAGTCTCACCCCCTAATGCTCAGCAGACAGCTCAGCTTCTCCTCTGGCCTGCTCCTGGATCCAAGCTCCCAATCCCCAGGGGAGGCCTTTCAAGGCCAGCCCCCTACACATTCTGAGGCTGGATCTCAACCAGCCCTCAAATTGAATATAGATCTATTTTAGAAACAGGGTCTCACTCTGTCACCCAGCCTGCCGGAGTGCAGTGCTGCAATCATAGCCCCTATCTCAGCCGCCCCCCTAGCTGAGACTACAGGCACACACCAGCACTCCCAGCTAATTTTTCTATTTTTTTTAGAGACAGGGTCTCACTATGTTGCCCAGGCTGATCTCAAACCCCTGACTTCAAGCAATCCTCTCACCTCAGCCTTCCAAAGTGTTGGGATTACAAGCGTGAGCCCCTATGAGACCTTTAATGGAAGCCCTGGTCACTCTTCCCTTCTTTCTCTCTCTAATCTCACTTCCTCCTCACCATTTCCTGCCACATATTAGCAAGCCGAAGACCCTCAAGCTCCTGACTCTGCCCGACGCGTTTCCCACCGACAGTGCTCTCCACGGGCCCCTTCATCTTTCCCTGAAAATCCGCCTCTTTTATTATCTCAGTTCCAAGTTGGTCATCACCCAGCACCCAAGACAAAAACCTCAATTCTGCTCTCTCACACCTCCCACGTTCAATCAGCTACTGCATTCAATCCAGCGGATTCAATCGTCTACATATTTCTGAAATCCATTCCCTCTTCTCTGGACCCACATCTATTTTTAGTGCTTATCCAGACTATTGGAGAGTGTAGTAGATTGCTTCTGAAGATGGCCTGCACCATCGCCTCCCATCTTTGATGCTTTCTGCAGTGAGACCACGTGGTGCCTGTCATCAAGAAGTAGAGCAGGCGTCCCCAAACTTTTTACACAGGGGGCCAGTTCGCTGTCCCTCAGACCGTTGGAGGACCGCCACATACTGTGCTCCTCTCACTGACCACCAGTGAAAGAGGTGCCCCTTCCTGAACTGCGGTGGGGGGCCGGATAAATGGCCTCAGGGGGCCGCATGCAGCCTGCGGGGTTGTAGTTTGGGGACGCCTGAAATAGAGTCTTGGCTGGGCGCAGTGGCTCACGCCTGTTATCCCAGCACGTTGGGAGACCCAGGCGGGAGGATTGCTTGAGCCCAGGGGTTCAAGACCAGCCTGGGCAACATGATGAAACACCATCTTTACTAAAAATACCAAAATTAGGCTGGATATAGTGGCTCATGCCTGTAATCCCAGCACTTTGGGAGGCCGAGGTGGATGGATCACCTGAGGTTGGGAGTTCAAGACCAGCCTGACCAACATGGAGAAACCCCGTCTTGTTTGGGCAACAAGAACAAAATTTCATCTCAAAAAAAAAAAAAAAAAAATTAGGCCAGATATGGTGGTTCACGCCTGTAATCCCAGCACTTTGGGATGCCAAGGCGGGTTTGAGAGAAGCCTGGCCAACATGGCAAAACCTCACCTCTATGAAAAATACAAAAATTAGGCTGGCAAGGTGGTTCATGCCTGTAATCCCTGCACTTTGGGAGGCCGAGGTGAGTGGATCAGGTGAGGTCAGGAGTTTGAGACCAGCTTGACCAATATGGAGAAACCCTGTCCCTATTAAAAATACTAAATTAGTTGGGCATGATGGCAGATGCCTGTAATCCAAGCTATTTGGGAGGCTGAGGCAGGAGAATCACTTGAACCTGGAAGGCGGAGGTTGCAGTGAGCCAAGATCGTGCCACTGCACTCAGAATGAGACTTCATCTCAAAAAAAAAAAAAAAAAAAAAAAAATTAGCTGAGCATGATGGCGTGCACCTGTATTCCCAGGTACCCTTGAGAGGCTGAGGGAGGAGAATTGCTTGAACCTGGGAGGCAGTGGTTGCAGTGAGCAAAGATTGTGTCATTGCACTCCAGTCTGAGTGACAGTGAAACTCTGTCTCAAAAAAAAAAAAAAATTAGCTGGGCATGGTGGCATGCACCTGTAATCTCAGCTACTCAGGAGGCTGAGGCAGGAAGATCATTTCAGCCCAGAAGATGGAGGTTGCAGTGAGCCAAGATGGTGCCACTGCACTCCAGCCTGGACAACAGACCCTGTCTCAAAAAAAAAAAAAAAAGTAGAGTCTAGCTCTCCTCCCTTTGAGTCCAGGCTCCCAGTGACTGGCTTTGGCAGCTACAATGCAGAAGCATTGGTTTCCTCTTAGGCATCAGAGGCTTTGCAGCTTCCATTCCTTGGTTCTCTGGTCTCTCCTCTCCTCTCCAGCTGCCGAGCTCTGAGGAAGTCCAGGGTAGGCCCTCGATAGTGAGGCATGGCATTCGAAGCCTGCCTCGCTCGCATCTCTTAGCCTTGCTGCCTACCACCCCTCAGTGTACCCTGTGCTCTGTAATTCCAGGCTCCCGGAGGCTCAGCCAGCCAGGATGTCTCATGTTCCCAGCTTCACTCCCACACTGTTCCCAATGGCTACGGTGACCTCTCCCACACACTTTGTCTGGCTTGCCTGGTCTCAGCCTTCCAGACTCAGTTTAGGCTGGGTGTGGTGACTCCCACCTATAATCCCAGCAGTTTGGGAGGCCGAGGCAGGATGATTGCTTGAGTCCAGGAGTTCAACAGCAGTCTGGGCAACATTGTGAGACCCTGTCACTACAGAAAATTTTTAAAAATTGGCCAGGCATGGTGGCACACACCTGTGATCCCAGCTACTCAGGAGGCTGAGGTGAGAGGATCACTTGAGCCCGAGAAGTGGAGGTTGCATTGAGCTGAGACTGCACCACTGTATTCCAGCCTGGGCAGCAGGGCAAGGCCTTATCTCAAAACAGCAAACAACAACAAAACCCCTTAGTTTAGCCTCCCAGGCCCCACTGCTGTGCTCCCAAAGCACCCTGTGCACCTTGATCACGATACCTGCCATGCTGTGCCGCAACCCCAGGCGCCATGACAGTTTCCTGGTCGACCACAAGTGACCAGAGGACAAGACTAGATTTTCTCACTGCTTATATGCCCAGCGCCTAGCACATGGCAAACACCCAATAAATGGTTGTTAAACCAAACTTGCTGAAACTGCTTTAGCCAATATCTTTTATCATCTGACACTGTTCTATGACTGGGGTTTTTCTCCAAAGAGAGCAGCTTTGAGTCAGGGATGGCATATTCTGTCTCACGTCAACAGACGCACAGAGTCAGGCCTCCGTCTCTGGCCAGGTGACTCTGAGCCCCTCCACGGTACTCACAGGTATGGAAGGGTGTCCGGTCAGGCAGGGAGCGGGTTTTCCTTCGGATAGGCAATGACTTTTCCATCTCTTCTTTCAAGATCATCTTTCCCAGGTTGGAAGTAACCTGAGGAGGGAGAAAGGAAGATGGAGCCAAGACTTAAGACACTTGTTTCTTTTTTTTCTTTTCCTTTTTTTTTTTTTTTTCTGAGACAGGGGCTCACTCTGTCACCCAGGCTGGAGTTCAGTGGCACAAACATAGCTCACTGCAGCCTTGACCTCTTGGGCTCAAGTGATCCCACCTTCTCAGCCTCCTGAGGAGTTGGGACACAGGCATGTACCACTACACCTGGCTAGCTAATTTTTTTTTTTTTTTTTTTTTTTTTAGAGATGGGGTTTTACCATGTTTCCCAACCTGGTCCCAAAATCCTGGGCTCAAGCTATCCTCCTGCCTCAGCCTCCCAAAGTGTTGGGATTTCAGGTGTGAGCCACTGTGCCAGGCCTATACTTGTTTCTTATCTCCAAAAGGTCCAGAGTTGGGCACACTGCAGGCAGGACTGGGGATATTTCCCAAGTGGCTGGTCTATGCCCTGGAGCTCACAGAGCCTCTCATTCGTGGCTGACACATGGCCACGTTGGGTTTGGCCACCCTTGAGAGCCAGGAGTCAGAGCTGCTCAGTAGAACTCTACCACGGCAGCATCCCTGTCCCTGTCCTAGGTCACCCTGTCCAGAGCCCAAGCCTATGTCACTGTTGATGGCCTTTCCATGGTTCTCCCTCCTCCCCTGGAGGCCAGTAGCCCATGCTCTCCGTTTTTCTCTTTCTATGGGCCACTTGGCCTGCTAGCTCCCGGCTGCGGTGGGACCACCCTTTTCTGTGCTTTTGACCCTAATATCAAGTAGTGTCCTACGGAAAGTAGCATAAAGTCAAGGTGTCCCTTCAGAAGCAGAAACCTGGGGTCTTAAAAAGAAGAGGCTGTCCCACGTGTTCCAATAAGCATGCTTTTTGGGTCGGAGCCCTTAGACTAGCTATGGAGCCAGACCTTTTGTCCCCAAAAAGACACAGAGTGGGCTGGGCGTAGTGGCTCATGCCTGTAATCCCAGCACTTTGATGACTCTGGAGGCTGAGGTGGGAGGATTGTTTGAGGTCAGGAGTTTGAGACCAGCCTGGCCAACATGGCAAAACCCCATCTCTACTTAAAGTACAAAAAAAAAAAAAAAAAAAAAATTAGCTGGGTGAGGTGGCAGGCCTATAATCTCAGCTACTTGGGAGGCTGAGGCAGGAGAATCTCTTGAACCTGGGAGCGGAGGTTGCAGTGAGCTGAGATCATGCCACTGCATGCCAGCCTGGGCAACAGAGCAAGACTCTGTTTCAAAAAAAAAAAAAAAGACACAGGGTGGAGGGTGCGGGTGGTGAGATGCTACCTTACTGAGTTCCTCTTTCTGACGTTCCCTGAGAGCCTTCATCTCCTCTCCAGAGTCGTCATCTTCCTCCTCCTCCTCTTCCTCTGCTCCCCTCCGAGATGCCTTCCGCTTCCTCCATTCTGTCTCTAGAAGACACAAGCAAAGGCAGGCGGGGAGTCACTCGCTGCGGGCTCATTGCACATCTACGAGTAACAGGCTCTGTGCACTCCCCAGGCTGGACCTTGATAAAGCCTTTACAAATTATTTTTTGTTAATAGCTGGGTGTGGCTCATGCTGTAATCCCAGCACTCTGGGAGGCAGAGGCAGGTGAATCACCTGAGGTCAGGAGTTCAAGACCAGCCTGGCCAATACGACGAAACACCATCTCTACTAAAAACCCAAAAATTATCCAGGCATGGTGGCGCACATCTGTAATTCCAGCTACTCAGGAGGCTGAGGCAAGAGAATCGCTTGACCTGGGAGACGGACGTTGCGATGAGTGGAAGTTGCACCATTGCACTCCAGCCTGGGAGATAAGAGTGAAATTCCATCTCAAAAATAAACAAAGTAGGGTGGGTGAGGTGACTCATGCCTGTAATCTCAACACATTGGGAGGCTAAGGCGGAGGACTGTTTGAGTCCAGGAGTTTGAGAACAGCCTGGATAACACAGTCTCTACAAAAAATTATTTTTGAATATTAGCCTGGTGTGGTGGGGCATGCCTGTAGTCCTAGCTACTGGGGACACTGACATGGGAGGATTGCTTGAGCCCAGTAATTCAAGGCTGCAGTGAACTGAGATGGCGCCACTGCACTCCGTCCTGGGCAACAGAGTGAGACTCTGTCTTAATAAATAAATCAATATTTCAACATAAAAATAAGGTAAGACCTGGCACAGTGGCTCATGCCTGTAATTCCAGCACTTTGGAAGGCTGAGGTAGGTAGATCACTTGAGATCAGGAGTTCAAGACCAGCCTGGCCAACATGGTGAAACTCCATCTCTATTAAAAATATAAAAATTAGCCAGGCACCTGTAATCCCATCTACTTGGGAGGCTGAGATAGGAAAATCGCATGAACCCGGAAGGTGGAGCTTGCAGTGAGCCGAGATCACCTCACTGTACTCTAGCCCGGGCAACAAAGCGAGACTCTCTGTCTCACAATTAAAAAATAGAGTCAGGCATGGTGGCTCATGCCCGTAATCCCAGCACTTTGGGAGACTGAGGCGGGTGGATCACTTGAGGTCAGGAGTCCGAGACCAGCCTGGCCAACATGGCAAAACCCCATCTCTATTAAAAATACAAAAAATTAGCCAGGTATAGTAGTACACACCTGTAATCCCAGCTACTCAGAAGGCTGAGGCAGGAGAACTGTGTGAATTTAGGAGGCGGAGGTTGTGGTGAGCCAAGATCACACCACTGTACTCCAGGCTGGGTGACAGTGCGAGACTCCATCTCAAAAAATTGAAATGAAATGAAATAAAAAGAAGAGTAACATTTTCTCATCTGGCCATGAAGCTGGGGAGGCAACACAGACACACACTCACAGCTGAAATTCAGTGGGTGCAGCAACATGAATGGAACTAGAGACCATTGACTTAAGTGAAACAAAGACAAAGACTGCATGTTCTCACTCATGACGGGGAGCTAACTAGCGTGTGTGCATGGATGCAGAGAGTGGGATGATGGACCATAGCAATTTGGAAGGGTGTAGGGGGTGGTGATGGGAAATTGCTTAATGGATACAATACAACGTGATTCTTCAGATAACAATGCCATAAAAGTCCTGACTCCACCACTGTGCAATCTATGCAGGCAACGTGTACCCCATAAATATGTACAAATAAAAATTAAGGCCGGGTGTGGTGGTTCATGGATGTAATCCCAGCACTTTGGGAGGCCGAGGCGGGCGAATCATGAGTTCAGGAGTTCAAGACCAGCCTGGCCAACATGGTGAAACTCTGTCTCTACTAAAAATAAAAAAAAAATTGGCCAGGTGGAGTGGCTCATGCCTTGTAATCCCAGCACTTTGGGAGGCTGAGGCAGATGGATCACAAGGTCAGGAGTTCAAGATCAGCCTGACCAACATGGTAAAACCCCATTTCTACTAAAAATATAAAAATTAGCTGGTCATCATGCCTGTAATCCCAACTACCCAGGAGGCTGAGGCAGGAGAATCGCTTGAACCCGGGAGGTGGAGGTTTTGGTGAGCCGAGATCATGCCACTGCACTCCAGCCTGGGTGACAGAGCAAGACTCTGTCTCAAAAAATAATAAAATGATAATAATACAAAAAATTAGCTGGGAGTAGTGGCAGATGCCTGTAATCCCTACTCAGGAAGCTGAGGCAGGAGAATTGCTTGAACTCAGGAGGCGGAGGTTGCAGTGAGCCAAGATCGTGCCACTGCACACTGCACTCCAGCCGGGCAAGAGTGAGACTCCATCTAAAACAATAAATTAAATTCACTGGGGACCAAACCATTTATCATTTATCTTTCTCTTTCCCAGAGCTCTCATCACAGAGCCTGGGAGGCAGGAGAAGTTTGATACATGTTGGCTGAGTCATGAAAGAAATGAATGGAAAGTAAATGAATGACCAATAAACAGGGCCACTTACACCAGGTGCTATGGGAAGGCAGAAAGTGGGTGAGCAAGGAGCCTGGGCCTCATGAAGGTGGGAAAAAGCTCACGAGGACACCAGAGGGCAGGGGTGGAAGTGGGTTCACATGGCTGCAGCAGGTGCCAAGGGGGAGGGAGTGCAGGGGTCCCAGGGCCCCCGTTCCCATTTCCCCATCTCTCCTACCCACGACAGCCAGAGACGGGGGACAGGGCCAGTAGTCAGTTTCGATCTTGGCTGGCTGGTTGGGGTCCGGGGGCTGGGCTGCAGGGAACTTGGATGACTCAATGATGAGATCCTCGATGAGGTGCTTGGTCTGAGGGCTGCCTCCCACAGACTCTGCAGACAAAGGCCAGGGTCAGCCAGGTAGGCCCTGCCTGAGGCCAACCTGGCTGCCCTCACCCCCCTCCTCCTTCACACCTGTGAGGTCCTGCAGGTAAAAGCAGTGTACGCACTGAGGATGGGGCACACGTTTCATGCTGCTGTCCCGCCATATCCTCCCGTCCCCCTCCAGCCAGCCTCCAGCCCCGGGATATAGCCTCCCAGTGTGCAGCTGGAAGTGGGCTCTGGTGAGCCAGGGGAACACTCACCTCTCTGCTTATAGATGGGTGGCTTCTTGTAGATGTTGGAATCTGGGCGGGTGGTCTCTGTGGGAGGGAGAGGAGCAGATGAGGAGGAGGATATGCTGATAGGAGGGAGGCTGGGGCTGAGAGAAGAGAGGGGATGGAATGCGACAAGGTGGGGAACTCACTGGTCCCTGTCAGGAGCCGAGACAGAGCTGGCATAGCTGGCACTGTCCCTCAGGGGTTTGGGACATTTTACACTTTTCTGGCCACGGGAGAGAGAAAAAGCAATAGGTCCCCCATCTCTGATGGGGTCCTGGCCTCCCGGGGTCCACTTAGGTCTGAGGTGAGCATATACACCAGAGAGTAGGGGACTGAGCATCAGGGGCTTGGAGTTCCTGAGGGAAGAAGTCTTAGGAAACATGCGGTACCAAGAAGACCTACCAGGGTGGTGGAAATGGGGCAGGCTGGTCCGGGGGGTTCCAGTGGTTCTGGGGGCCGCAGCCTGAGAGATGATTCCAGGTGACCGGCTGTCTGCCCACACCTGCAAAGCAGAAGCCTGTGGCTCCAGGGTCCCCATCCCCCTCCAACCCACACATGCACCCCATCAGCTCACACCACCCTCTCTGTCCTCCCATCCTGGCCGGCTGCATCCTCCCAAACCCAGGGCAACGTTGCAGCACAGTTCCAAGGACCTACTGACGGTGACTGGCCCAGGGAGAAAGGGTGGAATGAGGTCCTGGGTCTGACAGAATGATGGACACAGAGCTGGCCAGGGACGGGTGGGGGTGGGGGTGGGGGTGGGTAGTGCTGATTTGGGCACTCCATGGGCTCTTCAGAGCTCGGTCTGATGTGTGGGGAGGAAGTTGGGGACCCCTGCAGGGCAGGGTAGGGCAAGTTGCAGGTGTGGGGCAGACTCACCTCCGGGGATGGTGGGGGGGATGTGGATTTGGGTGACAGAGAGCGCTGTGAAGGGAGAGGGGACTGGTCAGAGCTACAGGGGCAGATTCAACCTGTTCCCTAGAACCCCAGAGTGGCCACTTCATCCCCCACCCAATGCCACACACTTTCCTGGCCAGCTCTGGGCCACCTCTGCTTCCTTGGATCTTTGCCAACCCCCAGCTGCCTTCATCCTTCTCCTTCCCATGGTTCCCTGCACAGAGTCCTCAGCCTTCCCATGGAGGCATAGGGAAGCCCATGAACCTTGCAGCAGCGCGCCTGGGGCTCCCAGGGCCAACTCCTCCCTTCCTTCCCTCCTTCCTTCCCTCCCTCTTTCCTTCCTTCCCTCCCTCCCTCCTTCCTTCCTCTCTCTCTCATCTTTTTTATTTCCTTTTTCCTTTTTCTTTCCCTCCCTCCTCACCTTCCTTCCTTTCTTCCTCTCTCTCTCCCCTTTCTTCTCTCTTCTCCTCTCTTCTACTTTCTTCTCTCTCCTCTTTCTTTTTTGCAGTCTCACTCTGTCACCCAGCCTAGAGAGCAGTGGCTCCATCACAGCTCACTGCAGCCTCCCCCTCCTGGGCTCAAGGGATCCTCCCACCTCAGTCTCCTGAGCAGCTGAAACTATAGGTACACACCACCACACCTTGCTAATTTTTGTAGAGATAGGGGTCTCCCTATGTTGCCCAGGCCGGTCTCAACTCCTGGCCTCAAATGACGCTCCTACCTTGGCCTCACAAGTGCTGGGATTACAGGTGTGAGCCACCGTGCCTGGCCTTCTGAGAACCAATTAAGGAATAGTTGGTCCTGTCCTCAGAGCCTCAACACAAATAGAAGGGACAAGACCAACAAGCATCCAAGGATGAGGTCCGAGGTCATCATGAAGGAACTGAAGTCACCCCACGGTTTGGCCCCGTGTTACCGGTCAGCCACGACACCACCCTGCCTTGAACAGTTGCACACTACTCAGTTCATGAGTACCTGCCTTGCATTCTCTCCTGCACCATGACTAACTTGTGTGTGGACGGGCAGAAAGGTCACCTCTGTTTTATAGAAGGGCAAACTGAGGCCACAACATCACACAGGTCCCTCTGCTGGACTTTCAGCCCCACGCTCAGTACCTCTGAGCTGTTTCCACAAATCTTGCTCTTCCTGCCCCCTGTGTGCTGCTGCCATCCAAATGCGTCCACCTCTCTACAACTGAACGACATGCCAGCCCAGAACCCATTCGCCTGCTCTCTTGAACGCTGGATAGACTGGTGGTTCCTGTGCACAGTTCCCTCTCTTCTCTTTGCTGAGGCAGACCTCCGGGAAAGGAAGCACGGGAAGGATCGGTCCCCACCCAGTGTGGCTTGGTGGGGCCTCCCCTCAAGTTCTGCCCAAGAGGAGCCCCCTCACCTCCCGGCTGCGGGGCAGCTCCACGTGTTCCAGGAGGGAATACGTGAAGTGGGGCTCATAGATCATGAGGTCGGGCCGCTCGATGTCCAGGATGGCCTTGTCCTTGGGGATGGCAGCCAGGTCCTTGTAGCCTAGCACCTGATTGTCCATCTTGGCCTGAAGGGAAAGGTGAGCGTGGAATGGCTGTGCCGAAAGCCCTGCCTAGGACACAAGCCCTGCTAGCTAGACTTAGGTTAATTGCCAAGGACGTCTGCCATTGCAGACGTTAACAATTCTGCTAATTTAAGAATTTAGTCCCTTAAAACATGATAGTCCTTTGCCTAGCACTTCGGGTGTAAGGAAACCAGAGCAGTGGAAGTGGAATGTGGGCGCCTTTCTGGGTTTCGGGATTCTCTCTGCCCGCCAGCACTGGCAGGACCACCACTGGGGAGGCTCTGCGGGTAGCTCCCCAGCAGCCAGGGGTGCCCCACCCGCCCCGCTCCCAGTCTGGTGGTGGTGGGGGTGCTGGTGGCCGAGAGGGGTACTCACCACGATGCTGGAGGGAGGGCCAGGCACATTGGAGTCTCGGGAGGAGCTCACGCTCCCGGGGGAGGTAAGTGGTTGCTGGGGAGAGCGAGAAGGCGGGCGAGTGGGCACGTGCGTGGGTGCGGGGGCAGGGCAGGGGCGGCCCTAGGCCTGGGGGACCCGGGGCGCTGCGCGGCGCTGCGCGGCGGGTGGCCACCAGGTGGCGCCCTGGACTCCCGAGCGGCCCCCACCCACCCTCGGCGCCCCCGGCCCGGGGCGGCGCCGCGCACCTTCTGCAGCCGTTCCATGCAGCGCGGAGCTCGCCGGCCGGGTCACTCGCAGAGCCCTGTGCGCGAGGGGAGAGGACAGCGAGTCAGGCTCGGCGCGGCTGCTGGGCGCTGCGCGCTCGGGGCTGCGAAAGCAGCCGGTGCGTCCCCCCGGGCTGGCGCGTCCTCATCCCTCGGCGGCGACTCTCCGGACTGCCGGGAGAAGGAGCGGGGCGGCGCCGGGGCGGCGTTGGGCTGCGGGGCCTCCGCGGGCGGCAGCTCTCCAGGCAGCCGGGCCCCGCGCGGCGCAGGCGTCCCATCCGCTCAGACCCGGAGAACGCGCGCGTGGACGGGAGGCGGCCGAGGGACGGGTGGCGCTTGTTTTTGAGCCATTGTTCTCTCGCTCCAAAGGAAATGACGGCAGGGGTCAGCGGGCTGCCCGGGCGGAGGCCTCCACGGCCCTGCTCCGCCGCACCTGCCCTCCCGCCCTGGCCCTCCCCTCCCGGCCGCTGGTCCCACTCCCGCTCGGGGCACCGTCCCCGCCGCCACTTCCCGGCGCTCACCCAGGAAGGGTTAACACAGAGGATTCCGTGAGCAGCCCGGCTTCAGCATCCCTCATCCAAAACCTGAAATCCGCACTCCGAAACTTCGTGAGTGCCTTCGTGACGCCACAAGTGGAAATTCCACACGTCGAACTTCACGCAAACTTTGTTTCATGCACAAAATTGTTTTTAAAACACTGTATAGGTCGGGCATAAGTGGCTCACGCAGGCAGTCCCAGCATTTTGCCACACTGAGGCAGGACTGCTTGAACCCAGCAGTTTGAGACCAGCCTGGACAACACAGTGAAACCCTGTCTCTACAGATAAATTTAGAATTTAACCAGGCGTGGTGCTGCATGCCTGTAGTCCTAGGTACTAGGGAGGCTGAGGTGGATCCCTTGAGCCTGGGAGATTGAGGCTGCAGTGAGCTGAAATTGCACCACTGCCCTCCAGCCTCAGTGACAGAGTAAGACCCTGCCTCATTAAAAAAAAAAAAAAAAAAGAAAGAAAGAAAGAAAGAAAAAGAAAAGAAAAAAGTCTTGCTCTATCTCCCAGGGTAGAGTCCGGTGGTGCGATCTTGGTTCACTGCAATCTCCACCTCCCAGGTTCAAGCGATTCTCCTGCCTCAGCCTCCCAAGTAGCTGAGATTACAGGCGCAGGCCACCATGCCCGGCTAATTTTTGTACTTTTAGTAGAGATGAGTTTTCACCATGTTGCCCAGGCTGGTCTTGAACTCCTGACCTCAAGTGATCCACCTGCCTTGGTCCCCCCAGAGTGCTGGGATTACAGGCGTGAGCCATGGTGCCCAGCTCCACTTTTCTGCTTTTGATGCTTTCCAATGCTCTGCCCACCTCTCTGCCTCCCAGATACCTCCAGCCTTCCAGAGCCATCCCAAAGCCCCTCCTCTGGGAGGCCTCTCGTTACTAGTCTTGTCCTCATGGATCAACCCTTCTCTGAATTCCAGTGGGACTTAAAATCAGACCAATGTAGCTAAGCACTTGATCACAGGGAATATGTTTTCTCCCTAACTAGACAGACTCCTAATCGCAGGAGGGTGAAAACAACAATAAGAGCTATGTGGGAGGCCAAGGAGAGAGGATGGCTTGAGGCCACAAGTTCGAGGCCAGCCTGGGCAACATAGGGAGACCTCGTCTGTAGCAAAAAATTTAAAATTAGCCAGGTGTGGCGATATGCACCTGTAGTCAGCTCAGCTACTCCAGAGGCTGAGGCGGGAGGATTGCTTGAGCCCAGGATGTCAAGGCTGCAGTGAGCTGTGATCAAACCACTGCATTCCAGCTTGGGTGGCAAAGCAAAGAGCTATCATTTTTTGAATGCTCATTATGCACTAGGTATTTTGAGAAGCCCTTTACAAGGATTATTTTGTTTCATTGCCTAAACAACCCTATAAGGTACACCTATTTACAGATGAGGAAACTGGGGCTCAAAGAGGTTATAAATTTCTCCAGAGTCGTGGAGCTGAAAATGACCGTGTCTTCAGCACAATTCTCTTACCTAGTACCATATCAGGTGAGAAAGAGGAGAGCTAGAATCTACCAGATTCCTCAAGTCTGTTGGAATTCTAGAACCATGGCATCTCCAAAATAAGACTCTGGCCATCGGAATCACACGAGGTGTTGGTGCCCATGGAAAGACTCTGTTCCGGAGCTTCAAACTCCTCTTGCCTTCTTAGTGCTCACTTTGTAATGCTTTTAATTAAGCAAGGAGAAGAATAAATTCTGGAACATACTTGAAGGGCTGTTAGTTCTCTCTCCTCTCTGATCTTTACTTTGTTTATAGCTAGTATCAAAGTAGCTATATACTTGGCTTAGCCCTAGGGGTAAATGCTTATCCATACATGCATGCATCTGTTCATCCATCTATCCATCCATCCACCCATCCACCCTGTATCCATCCATCCATCCATGCATGCATCCACCTATCCACCCTGCATCCATCCATCCATCCATCCCTGCATCTATCCATTCCTGCATCCATACACCCATCCACTCTGCATCTATCCATTCATCCATCCCTGCATCCATCCATCTATCCATGCATGCATCCACCCATCCATCCATCCATCCATCCCTGCATCCATCCCTGCATCTATCCATCTATCCATGCATGCATCTGTTCATCCATCTATCCATCCATCCATCCACCCATCCACCCTGTATCCATCCATCCATCCATGCATGCATCCACCTATCCACCCTGCATCCATCCATCCATCCATCCATCCATCCCTGCATCTATCCATTCCTGCATCCATACACCCATCCACCCTGCATCTATCCATTCATCCATCCCTGCATCCATCCATCCGTCCATCCATCCCTGCATCTATCCATCTATCCATGCATGCATCTATTCATCCATCCATCCATCTACCATCCATCCACTTTCCATCCATCCATCCCTGCATCCATCCATCCATTCAACAAATACTTTCTGAGCACCTATTCTGCAATGAACACAGAGCAGGACTCTGTGGCAAGTCTTATGGAGAATAGAAAGATGAGTCAGAGGAGCTACGCTGCCCCTCCAAAAATAAGGCATGCATCTAGATAACTCCCATGCAACGTAGAAAACTACATGTACCAGAGAAGATAGTGTAAAGCGTATGAGAAGTCACAGGAGAGATTCCTCCTGCTGGGATGTCAGGAGGGGGAAAAGGGTTTATTGGAAGAAGAAGTATTTGAAATAGGCCTTGAAAGATGCCCAGTTTTGGCCGGGCATGGTGACTCAAGCCTGTAATCCCAGCACTTTGGGAGGCCGAGGTGGGTGGATCACGAGGTCAAGAGGTCAAGACCATCCTGGCCAACATGGTGAAACCCCATCTCTACTAAAAATACAAAAATTAGTTGGGTGTGGTAGCACGCGCCTGTAGTCCCAGCTACTTGGGAGGCTGAGGCAGGAGAATTGCTTGAACCCGGGAGGCGGAGGTTGCAGTGAGCAGAGGTCTGCCACTGCATTCCAGCCTGGCTTCTGGCGACGGAGCGAGACTCTGTTTCAAAAAAAAAGAAAGATGCCCAGTTCGAGATCATGCAAAAATTGAAAAAAGGGCTCCTGACAGAGAAAGCAGCATAAGGTGGGGACATGGGGCTGCACTGGGCCTGCGTGGGGTCAGCAAATATTGCTGGATCGGAGAGCTGATGACGTTGAGAGGCATTCGGGACAGGTCAAGACCAGATCGTGGAGGCCCTGAACAGCCTAGGGTTAGGTCATAATCTGTTGGCAACAGGGGGCCAAAGAAGGCTCAAAAACTTTTTTTTAAGTGAAGAAGTAACGTGATTTAAGCAGTGCTTTGGGAAAATGAACCTGTTGCAGCCTGAGAGCCAGATAGGACCGGCAAAGGCAATCCAGGTCCGCAGGGAGACTGGTCCGGAAGCTGCAGCAGCAGTTCAGCAGAGCACTGTGAAGATCTAGACTTGGGCAGGAAGGAAAGGGGGCAAACCGGAGAAACCCTAGAGGCAGCATGTGCAAAGCAGGACTGGATCTGGGGTGCCTATGGAGGAGGCTACAAGTCCAAGAGACTGGGAGAAGGGGAAAGGAAGAAGTCACTTTGACAGGTGGAGATTGCGGTGGGTGCAGCAGGGGAACAGGAAGGAATGTCCAAGAGGACAGGAACCTGCGGGAGAGGACAGGCTGGAAGCGGAGATGTCAGAGCCATTTACCTAGAGGTGGAAGTCCAAACACGAGATTAGCAAGGGACAAAGAAGGTCAAAAACAGCATCCTGGGAAACACCTGGGAGACTGAAAAGAAACAGCAAACAGCCAGAGATGACACGGTCAGAAAGAGAGGGGAAAACCAGGGGGCAACTCCCAGGGGCCAGGGAGTCTCTAGTGAGTCTTTGTGTTTTCAGCCAAGGGTCTGATACACAGTAAATGTGCCAAACATATTGAGAGAGGGAATGGGAGGGAGGGAGGGAGAGAAGGAGGGGCTGAGACAGTAGAACATCATGGAATCCAAGTGTCGCTGTGGAGAAGGTGGGGAGAAGTGCTTTTCCTCCAGCTCGAATGTCAAGGCCTTAATGGCCTCCTGGTTAGGGATGGGGGTGGTGAGGGGGTGCTGGCCAGGTGGTATAGCCAGGGGGAGTGGCCCTTCCAAGAAGTATGATAGAAGAGCAGAGTCATTCTGGAGGAGGTAAGACTGGCCTAAGGCCTTTAAGGAAAGGGGGACCAGGAACGTGTTTGCAGACAGCAGAGAGGGAACAGTGGACAGGAAAGATTGAGGCTGCAGCGGCGAGTGGGCACTGGGTGGGTGGAGCAAGAGGGCAGCAGGAGGGAAGGGATCAGGTTCATGGCCACGTGCAAGACTGGCTTTGGGGAGAAAGGCTCCCTGGAAACACAGATGAGCTGGGCAGTGGCTCACGCCTGTAACCCCAACACTTTGGGACGCAGAAGTTGGGGGAATCACTTGAGCCCAGGAATTTGACACCAACCTGGGCAACAGAGAGAGACCCTATCTCTACAAAAGATTTTTTTTTTTTTTTTTAATTAGCTGGGTGTCATGAAGTACACCTATAGTCCCAGCGACTTGGAGGCTGAGGCAGGAGGATGTGTTGAGCCCGGGCGGTTGAGGCTGCAGTGAGCTATGATCATGTCACTTGGCTCCCTGGAAAGGAGAGGAGAGGGAAGGAAGTTGGGTGATGACCATATAGGGCTTCTATTTTCCCAGCCAAAGAGAGATAGCAGCCAGGTGCAGAGGCTTATGCCTGTAACCCCAACCCTTTGGGGGCCAAGGCGGGAGGATTGCTTGAGGCCAGGAGTTTGAGGCTTTAGTGTGCTATGAATACACCACTGCACTCCAGCCTGAACAACAGAGTGAGATTCTGTCTCAAAAAAAAAAAAAAAAAAAAAAAAAAAAAGTGAGTAATAAGGTTCTATGCAGATCTTACATGTGGGTCCAAGGTTTGGAGGGGTCACTCTGAGGAGTGAGTGCAGCTGGGCACAGAGGGGCCGGGAGGGAGACTAGATAACTTCAGCATATTCTGGAGCCTCAGCTGAGCCTCAGGGAGGCCCTGGAATCCTCCTGGAACAGCCGGGGGAGGGGTACAGAGTAGGACAGTAGCTATCTGTCAGAGTGGAGGCTACTTGGAGTGGCAGGAGGTGAGGGGCCCGGGGTGAGCCATGTCTCAGGAGTATGTGGCCATCTATCCCATACTCAACACGTGCACAGACATCATCCCAGAGGCACAGACACTCAGAAACACAGTTGGAAATCCTGATGGTCACAGTCATAGCTGCCGTTTATGGAATGTCTATGTTATGACTGGCACTGTGCTGTGTACTTCACATTTCTTTCTTTCTTCTTTTTTTTTTTTTTTGAGACAGGGTCTCACTCTGTTACCACGGCTGGAGCACAGTGACATGATCATAGCTCACTGCAGCCTCAACCTCCCAGGCTTAACCATCCTCCCGCCTCAGCCTCCCTAGTAGCTGGGACTACAGGAGTGTACTCCATGACACCTGGCTAATTTAAAAAAAAAAATTTTTTTTTTTTAGAGATGGGGTCTCCCTATGTTGCCCAGGCCAGTATCGAATTCCTGGGCTCCAGTGATCCTCCCACCTCTGCCTCCCAAAGTGTTGGGATTATAGGTAGGAGCCATTGCCCAGCCCCTCTTTGTTTAAATTTAACCCTTATGTTCCAATCCTGTGGGTGGGCTTGGATTGGCGAGTATCTCAAGTTTGCACAATTGAGACCTGAACAAGTTAAGTCATTGGTCCAGGACACGCTATACTGTGTGGAATCTAAGCTCAGGTCTGTCTGACTTCTAAAACCGTTCACCACGATACCACCCAGGCAAAGCTGGCACGAGTCACTGAGCCCCTGGCTTCTCACTTCTGCTCTGTCCCCAGTCCCTTCTTGCCCAAAACCCCACTGCTGGGTCTTGTCCTTTAGTATCTGGGTCTGCTTCCAGGGCTCTGCCAGGGCCCTGCACCCTGGCGCCACCTTCTCCCCTGACATTTGTTAGAGAGCATGTTGGTTGATAAATTATTTCCTGAGGCAGAAATTTGGTCTTACCCCTCAGGGACATTTGCATGTAAACTTGGGCCTAGCCTTAAGGCATCAAGTTTTTACTGGTTAAATTGTAAGCTGTCAGAAGACCAGCAGGGAAGATGTTTGGGAGGGAGAAGAGTGTGTGTATATGTATGTGCACGTGCATGTGTGTGTGAGAGAGTGTTTCTTTGGCCTCTCTCAAATCACACCCTGCCTTCTCCACCCACACGCAGCCCCTTCCGCCAAAGCTCATTTCTCCCAGGTCAATGCCGGCTCACTCCACCTCCTCCAGTCCACCCCTCTCCAATGCACGCACCCCACCTGCCTGTTCGTGCACCTCCGAGGGCCCAGCGACCTCTGCGCACGAAGAGACTGAAAGGTCAAGCTGCAGCAGGAAAAGGGACAGGAAGGAGGAAGGGAGAGCGCCACAGAGGAAGGCAGTTCCAGGTGGTGGAAGGGACAGCTCAGCTGCCCCTGGCCCTGGTTGGATGCTAGCCGGCTGCTCACCCTCCATCTCAGCCCCACCCTCCCCTAGCTGTGCCTCCCTGCCTTATCTGAACCACCAGCCCAGCCCCACCTCACCCACCACCCTTTCCTCTCCACAGCTCCCCGGGATGTGGGTGATAAGACCTGCCTACAGGGCCCTCCGAGTTGTGCCCACCGCTCCTGGCGAGCTCTTCTTCCAGGCGGAAACTGATCCAGACCATGGCTCCCTGAACTTTTAGCCACGAAGCCTCCGCGGGCAGAAGCAGCTTCTGGGTGGGAGTCGGGGGGTCCTTGTCTAGCTATGCTTCTGTCTCTGGCCAACCACTACCTGCTCGGCACCAGCCCCTGTACTTGGGATTTTCATACATCCTCTCTCAACCTCACCCAAAACGACGTTCTCCTCATTTAGAAATGAACAAAAACGAGGCTGAGAGGTGAACCTGCCAAAAGCCCCCGCCCCCAGACAGCAGCCAAGCTGGAGTTCCCACCAGGCCAGCCTGAGGCCCAAGCCAATGAGCGCTCTTTTCAATGAGTACCAAAGATCCCACTTCAACCAGAAATTTGGGACCTGGGGGTCCCACGCTCTAACCTTAGACAGTGGGGCCACCCAGAGTCCTGCTCGCTGATGGCATCTGTAGAACAGCAGCTGGGAGTCTGGGGCCTCTGGCTCCAGGCCACACGGGCAGCAGGGTCCAGCGAGGCTGGAGGCCAGCCGCTGCAGACAGCAAACGAATTATGAAACGAGGCAAGCCATCCAAGCGGGCTGGCGTTGGGTGGGCAGGGGACTTTGCCCCATGTCGCCTTCTCCTGTTTTGTTCACCGTGCAACGGCCTGGCCCGTTCCCTTTCTTCCCCCTGTCTTTCTGCTTTCTCTCTTCTGGTCTCTTTTCTCTGCTTTCTTCATCTTTTCTCCCTCCCTCCCTCTTTCCCTTTCACCCTCTCCCCTCCCAGCCCTACCCCCGCAGTTACTGTGGCAACAGTTCAATGGCAGAAATAAAGGCAGGATCCAGCTAGGTCACCAGTTCCCAAAACAGCATCCCGGGTGGGGAGGAGCAGGGCGGGCACAGCAGTGCAGTGAGGCAGGGCAGGGGCCAGGCGCTCCCATGGGTGCTGTGCATGTGATGTGGGTGGGGTGAGGCAACTTGCTTGCCCCTCCCCCCTGGAAAAGGGCACCAGGAGGCTGAGGCCTGCTCTAGGCCAGTGGCTCATCAGAGGTGTCCCTTACTTAGGGCAAGCCTGAAGCCCAAGTCTATTCTAAGGCTGACAGAGCCCGGGGACTCCCTCCTCTTCTCCCAGTTTCTCCTTCTTCCCTACTCCAGTGTTTTTACCATTGTGTCTGCTAGGATGAGGGTTCCCCTGACCCAGCACTGCAGGGCACCCTCTCACACTCAGATACAGGACCAAGCCTGGGTGCATGGGGAGCTCAGAGTGCCCCTGCTTTAGGCCTACCCTCCCCTGTTCTCTTGATTACAACCATATTGGGCCTGGGTGCCCCCTCCTGCCCATTTCCTGGCCCCCAGCCCACCCAGAAATGCATGTGCAGCCATCTTCTCCCAGGTCTTTCTCTGGCTGGGTTTCTGCGTGCCCTCTGCACCCTCCCTCTGAAGAGGCCCTGCAGCCCCTTAGGCCGGCTTGGCAGATCCTGCTTCCCTCCACTTATGGCTGGTCCTGTTGTACAAATGGGCCTAGCAGAGCAGGGGGAGACACAGCCTCAATTCAGCTTTCTAGATTCTGGGGCCTCCCTGTTCTGATCTGCACAACACCTGGGAGCTCTAGCAGATGGATTCTGCAGACATCGGCCCACCAGCGGACAACCTGACCCAGGAGTCTGACACCTGGCCACTGAGACAAGGTGGATGGGTGTGCATAGTCAGAAGCGCCCACCCCGAAACCATGGCAGGATTTACGCACGCGGTGCACACAGGGAGACTCCGAAGCCCTGTGTGCCAGCTCACACCCCCACTCTCCCATCGAGGCCCCTCACAGTGACATGCGGTGCTGCCAACACCCACTCGCACCCACCCACCTGTCCTCTCTCTGGCTTCCCTCCCAGAGCTGCGCACGTGTACAGCAACACACAGTGAGCCCTTCACTTCCCCAGCCTCGGGGCCTTCCCTGGGCTCCCTATTCCCAGAGCCCAACTGCCTTCCTTGCATTGGACCTGACCCTGCTCCTCTGACTCTCACAACCAGGCAACCGGTCCCTGGAAAAGGACACATCGGGTGTGTCTGACCACGAAAGGGTGCCAGGCCTGCTAGGCCCCGAGGGACAGAGCTAGGGAGGGGGAGCCCCAGAACCCTGTGGGGGCTGCATGTCTGCTCAGCCCTGGCCCCTTCAAGCACCCTGGCAGTGGGGACGGGGGAGCACTGAGCACTGGGCTTGGGCTTGCAGCCTCACCCTGTCACTGCCTCACTCCTCACTCAGCCCCACCCCAGCCTGGCTGGCCACTGTCTGGAAGCAGGCTCTCCTCCACTCCCCCTAAAAACTAGGCACCAAACCAACAGCCTCAGGCCCCTGAATGAACTGCTCCAACCCCCAGGGTGGAGCGCTGGTGGGAAGGCCAGCAGGACTTCCTCTCCCAGTATTCAGCAGAGACGGAACGCTCCCCTGCCCACAGTACCATACCCATACTCCTGTCCCTCCCATTGCTGGCCTGCTCAGCTAGGTGGGCAGGGCAGAAAGGCTAGGGAAGAGGTGATTGGGCTGGTAGCAGTTCTCATCCTTGGGCTGAGAACACCCCAGACCCTCTTCTCCAAATCAGAAGGAGATTCCATTAGATCAGGCCCAGCTGGTCCCAGGGGCCGACCCATCCTCCCCCTGAACAGGGCCCACAGTGGGTTTCCCCCTCACCCTGTACCCTGCCACCACCCAAAGCCTGGCTCACCAGCAAGCGCTGTGGCCCAGAGTGCCCACAGAAGGGAGGAGAGGCAGAGACCCTGCCACCTACCTCTTCCCAGACAGTGTGGCCCAGACGCTCTGAGGCCACAGAGGCCTGAGAGGCGCAGGCCAGATCCACGGGCTGGCACTTCCCCCAGGAAGGTAATCGGCGTCTCTTCCAGGAACCCAGCCGTGCTTCCCCGGAGCACAAATAACAGGAAAAAAGCCGGCTTGGGGTGGGTGGGCGGGGTGGGAGCTGGTGAAGGAGGGGAGCTGGTCTCGGCTGAGCAGTCTGATCTCCCCTCTGAGGCCCCACCCGCCTGGCCCCCTACCCTGCTTCTCTGCAAGCCTCGGCCTCCTGGATCCCCCCACCCCGTACCGGGGAGTCCTCGTCTGGGGGCGGGCGGGCTGGCGGCTCCCCCACGCCCTCCCCGCGCCCTCCCCACCTCTAGCTGATAGCGTGTGGCCAGCGAGGGTGTGTGTGTGGATGTGTGCGCTCTTCCACCAGCGCTGCAGCTCAATCCATTTCAAACAAGAGGAGCATTAACCCAGCGTCATGACGAAGCAGAATCAGCCAGCACTGTCCTCTCCCTTTCCCACACCCCAGCCTGCAACACTCACACTCACACACACACCTACATGTACTCAGAGCCCCTCAGCTTCCTCTTAAACAGCCAGAGTTCAAGTTGCTGTGGGTGGTGGGTGGGGGCAGGGGAAGGGGGGCTACTGATGACCCAGGGGGACGATGCCTGGTTTCTCCAGGCACCTGCACCTCCTATCCTGTTCAGGACTACCCCATCATCTGACAGCAGCAACTGAGGTCTCTGGGGGCCCAACATCTCGAGGTGTGGGTGCAGGCACAGGCCAGAATTGGTCACCCAAGGATGCACTCTCCCCCGGGAGGGCAGAAGGGAGGGGTGCCACCAGGTCCCCAGTACAGAGACTTGGGCTGGCCCCTCGGTAACCTGAATCACCCAAGAATGCCAATGGAATGCAGCAGAGAGAGAGAGAGAGAGAGAGAGAGAGAGAGAGAGAGAGAGGACCCCATCTCTCCCTAGGACAGCTTCACAAAAAGGGAGTTTCCTGCCAGGTGACCCCTGGGTCCCAACAAAGAATTTACAGGCACGTGGCTTCCCTGTCTTGAGCAAAGCCTCAACCACCCCAGGAGCCTGTCATTGGCCTTTCAGGCCCCCTGGGCAGGACGGGGAAGGGCAACGAGCCTTGTCCTCGACTCTCACCCTGGCCCCAGCGTCCTCTCCACCTCCACACCACAGACTTGCCTACCTAGGCAGCCCTCACCGTTGCCCTGGCAACCGCTGCCCACAGCCGGTCAGCTGATAGTATCAGCTGTTGTTGGGGAAATCTAGAATCTGGGGAGGGGGCTCTGGGTGTCTGAATGGAGGAGTACGGGGAGGGACTTGAGGGAAGAGATCAGGAGGGGACAGAAAGTATCTGGCTGGTGGGGATAGAAAGGAAGGTAACCTGAGGGATGGGCTCCAGAGAGAAGGGAGGGAGGAAGGAGGCAGGTGGCTGAGAGAGGAGACTGAACACAGGCGGAGCTGCTGCAGCCAGTGGGGAGGCCGAGCTACAGAGAAAACCTGGGGGTGGGGGATGAAGTGTCGGATCTGTGGAACTGCAGAGAAAAAGGCCAGGAGTGATGTGGGAGGGGGTGCACCTTTAATGTGGCAGGAGGGGGCACAGCCCTGGAGGAGGAGCCACCCTAGCCATTGCTCCACAACCAGCCCGGCCTCGGCCCAGCCTATCGGTTTTCTGTCCCTTCAACCCCATACTTACTGCCCTTTGATCAGGGTCTGAGAGACAGAGAGGAAGCCTCAGCCCACTCCAGCCCTAGACCATCTCTCTCCATCCCTCCTGCACCGGGAGCTTTGACACCTCAGCCCTTTAGGATTCCTGAGCCCCCCATCCCGACCTGGGTTCCTCCCCTGCTGTTGGCCGTCCCCACCAGGCCCCACCCCAGGAGAGCTGTCTTCTGGTGCAAGGGTCCCAAGAGGCACAGTTGGAATGAGCTGATGCCAGGAAGGACAGCTGTGGTCAGGGGCCTGGAACGAGGTGGGTGATGAGGGATGGGTAGGATCGCTGGGCCTGGGAGGAGGGGTGCCTCCTCCTATGGAAACCGGCACTTTCGGGGCAGAGTCGGGGGAGCCAAGGGGAAAGGGCGGAGGGGAGAAAGAGGGGAAGGTGCTCAGTACCTTCAAGGGCCCAGGGCGTGGGGCAGGAGCGCAGCAGCCTCCTCGGTGACATCCACCTCCATCCCTCGGCGCATCTCCTCTCCGCCTCCCGTTGCCAAGACAACCTGCCGGCAGCTCAGGCCGGGCTCAGCCGAGGCGGCAGGGAGGGGGAGGAGGAAGCTGTGGCTCCTGCTGCCTCTTCCTCAGAGAGGGAAGGAGGGAGTCTGAGGGTGGACCCTCAGTGCTGGGGCTGGGGGTTAGAGGACAGCTTCAGGAGCTAGGGTGCCCTGTGAACCCCACCAAGTACCCCATTCCCCCACTTCCCTTCATAAGGCTCTAGAATTGCCTCTAGGGGTGACCTCAGGAGAACCCTAATTCAGGGCCAGAGAGCAGGCCAGTTTTGAAGAGCGTGCAGCGCTGGGGAGAGTCCCCACTCCAGAAAGCCAGCATGGAGCTTGGGGCGGTGAAGACAGCAAGGCAGGGATGGTCCCTGTGCTGAAGGGCCAGAGGGGTGGCTCTGGCAGAGTGCAGAGTCCCCTGGGTGCTGGCAGCACTGGGCATGTGGCTGCAGGCCCCATACCTCCGCCATCTCCATGTGAGCACCTTCTCCCGGTCCCAAACCCTCTCTCATTCCACCTGAGAATGGGACGGCTCTCTTCCAGTCCCTCAAGGTCCCATTCCCACTGCCCCCACCATGCCAGAGTCCCACATTCCATCAGAATGTCCCTCCACGGGCGGGCGGGCGGGTGGGGGTGGCCAGCTAGGGCAGGAAGAGTGCTCAGCCCAGCCAGGCCTGGACCCAAGGGGACTGCAGAGTGAGGGCTCCCTCTGTCGACCTGAGTAGTGGTAGCTGCCAAGGTCATTTTGCTGCCAGGGATCTGGGCTGTGTGTGTGTGTGTGTGTGTGTGTGTGTGTGTGTGTGCGTGTGCACGCGCACGCGTCCATGGGTATGTATGTGTGTGTTGGTGGTGGGCATCCAGAAAGGAGGCAAGGGGACCCTTCTCACCCATGCCATCCCCTGCCCCCACCTCATCTCTCTCCTTGTCCCATGGACTTACTCTGCCTCCAGCCTCCTCCTCCTGGGAAGGCCTCTGACCCCTCAAGTACGGCTTGTCTGAGAGGGGAGACTCCCCCTACCCCGAAGCTGGCAACACTGAACAACGGGTGCCTGTTAGCTCAGACCCCAGGTGGAGGCTTCCTCAGCTCTGCTCCATACCAAGCAGGCAGGCGGCGGCTGCCAGGGCTCGCATACCTTTGAAAGTTCAGGAGTTCTCAAGACCTTGAGGATGGGCGCTTGTGTCCACAACGCAGGGCCAGGGCTCCTGTGTCTCTCAAGCAGGGGGTCCCAGGACCCCGGATGAGGCTCTGTTCTTGGCTCCTTTCCCCACAAGGTCACTGGTGCCAGATGTCCTGGGCGAACTTGGGCCCCGCCGCCTCCTCCCTCCCCGGGGCCCTCTCCATAGGCCTCTCTGTCCACGACTGGGCTGTCTCACTCCAGTGCCCCCGGCCCCACCCCATGCACCAACCTGCTGGGCGGGGGAGCACCAGGAGTGCCTCCCCATACTATCTAAATATTAACTCCTGGAGAGGTGGAGCCTGGGCACCTGGACACTCAGGCAGGAGGGAAAGGGCGTCAGGTACCTGAAGAAAAGGAAGGATGAGGGCCCCAAAGTCTCCATTCTCATCAGAGATTGGGAGCCATGTTTCCCTGCTTCTGGGCACTGGACTCTGCTGCCCAGACCCCAGAGCCTCTGCTCCTCCAACATGCTGCCACCAGACCACGGTCATCGGGTGTCCCCAAAGCCCTTCCTGATGTCCTCCTTGCCACAGCATAAGGATCAAACTCTTCATCATTTGACCCAATCACTTCCTGCCACTTCTCTACACAAATTTCAGCTCCAGCCAAGCAGACAGACTGCTCCCCTTCCCGGGAGCACACCTCCCATTTTCCTGCCTCTAAGCCTTGATTTTCGTGCCTGTTTTTCTGCTCGTCATTTTCCGCTTTGTGCATCTTTTCTCCACTGAAATCACGCAAACGCCAGGCCTCCCACAAAGTCCCCCCAAACACCTTGGCCTATGCTCTCTCCCACCCCAGAACCCACGGTGCCTGGGCAGCAGAGTGGAGAACCTCGAACGCAAGGCGTGGAAGCCAGGGAGAATCGCGGTGCAGTGCTCACTAGCTGTGAGACCAGGAATGGCCTGGCGCCTCTGAGTGTGAACTCAGCCACGCGTGCTACGTGGGAACATCTCACGGCCCTAAAGAAGGGGTGCAAGCCAGTGTGCCCTGAGTGTGTCCCCGCACATCTGCTGAGCTCAGTACATATTAGTTTCCTTATTTCCAATAATTCTTATCTCCCCTTTCCCTCTTTGGGGATGTACCAAAGAAAGAAAGAAAGAAAGAAAGCTTTGTTATACCATGTGTAAGAGAGGGATTTCCAAATGTCCCACCCAAGCATTGCCTTTTTATGGATTTATCCCGCCAATTAAATCTCAAGTGCCTTGGGAGCTCTATCTTGTCCATCTTTTTTATTAACGGAAGGATTAGCACAGGGCTTGAATGCTGTGGGGGAAAAAGAAATACTGGGACTGACTGCTTAAGCCCTCGCCCCGCCCACATCTGCCTAAGGAAGGAGAGCACAGGATTCTGGCCTCTCTCCTGCCTCCACCTGGAGGGACGGTGGGGTGCTGGGCCAATGACTTCTTTCTGGGGCTTCAGGTGATTTATTTCCTCAATAAACACTTACCCTGTGCAATGTACTGCACTGGGCATGGTGGGGGAGGATAAGATGGACTATTTCTACTTCTGGGACACTTGCTACTTAGCAGGATCACGACAAGCACATGCATTATGACAGTTCTGGACAAGCTGTGACAAGTACCATAAGGCAAGGACAAGTGAAGGGCTGGCGAGACCAGTGGCGGTGGGGACAGTCGTTCATCCCGGAGAAGTGCCAAGAGCCTGTGGAGCAGAGGAGGAGCCCGTGGTCTGGGTGTGCATGTGTGCTACAGCAGGACAAGCCAGGTGGCAGGAACCCTTCGAATGAGGATGGGGGCATGCTTGCTTGATAGAGTTCCAGTTTTTCAGTGTTCTTAAAGAGGAATTGTGGGGCTAGGGCTGAAGAGGGAGTGGGAACAGGGCCGGACCGGAGTCTTAAAGATGACACTAGGAGTGTGGCCAGGACGGTGAGGCCTGGGTGGAGTTGTGGTTGATGATAGGAAAGGTGAGTGGGGCCAGCTCAGGTGTCCTGGAGTGGAGGGCCGTGTTGGGAGGCACAGAGATGATGCCGGGAGTGAGTGCAGATTTAGACAGATCCCAGTGAGGCCTGGCCCCGGTGGAGAGCCCCAGAGTTCAGGAAAGAAAGCAGTTACCCACAAGGAGGGCAAGCAGTTGGTGGCTGAGATGCTGAGGTTGCTCAGAGAGGCGGCAGGCAGGCGAAGAACAGAGTGGGAGGGACTCTCAGGGAAGGGTCCTCTGTGAGGAGGGGAAAGAGAAGCCCGGATGGCAGGCGAGGGGGGTGGGGGTGTCTCTTTGCCAGGGCAAGTGCTTAGGGCTGAAGACGGCGATGACGGAGGCAAGGCTTTCAGCTTGGTCCCTGGAAAGTCACTGTCTCAGCGTCAGAGTGACAGGGTTGAATAGACTGATGTAAGTGGAACCAGCTCATGTGGCCTAAAGTGATTGTCTCCCTTGGATATCCTGCTTAGCTCTCCCCTGCCTGGTCTGGTCCTGGCCGTTTGCAGGGCAGGACAGAGAAGGGAGGTCAATATGTGAGCTGTTCTTAGCGAGCATTCTTGGCAATCCCAAACTGGCCTCAGATTTGAGGCACTGGTGGCTGCTGCCGCCACCTCCCTCCGCCTGGTCACATTCCCCCCTAAAGGGGTTCATGTTTCCCCAACAGCAAGGGGCGACTAGCAATTAGCCCCCTGTGGCCACTCTTGCTCACACCTGCAGAGACCCAGGCGCTCAGAGGCGAGCAAGGCTGCTGGAGCCAGGTGTGGCCTGAGGACCCGGGGAAGCCTCCTTCCTGCCCACCGCCTAGCTGTGCCTGGTCAGTCCCCTCCGAAGTGCCAGCATTAGGGATCCACTCTTGTGGCTTCCTCCTTTTTAGCATCTTCGAAGTCACCACTAGTTCAGGGGAAATGAGCTGAACAGATTTCCAGAGCCTGAAAAGCCACCTGGGGCACGGTGCCCTGGGCAGAGGCGCTGAGAGATTTGGCGAGGAGAAGGCTCAGAGCCCAGCCAGAGACCCAGGGACCCAAGGCAGGAGCAGGCACTGGGCACCTGAGGGCTGGGCTGGGGTGAGGGCTCTCCCTGGGACAGCACAGGCCTCTGGAGTGGCCCTCCCTCTCCCTCTCCCTTCTCTGTCCCTCCCTGCTAGGTCTCACCTCAAAAAGCAAGACAGAAAACAGTGAGGGCTTTCTGGAGCCGGCCCCCAGAGGCCTGTCGGTGCTGGGGAGGTCAGAGAGGGAGGGAGGGGCTGGAGAAAGGCCGTGAAGAAAGCAGAGGCAACACAAAGGGCCCGGTCCACCTTTGAAGCCGTCTCTAACCCGAGCGAGGGAGGGGTGGGAGTGGGCTGGAGAGCCGGCTAGCAGGGAGGCAGTCTAGAGTTTTAAAGAATGTCTCAAATTCCTGCGGAAATCAGAGGGATTGTAACAGCCCCCCTCCCCAACACACCTCCTTCCCAGCCACCCCCCAAAGTTCAGTTCTCTACACCTGGGGGGCCCCCAACCCTTTGTTCTCAAGTAATTGCTGGGTGTTGCCCCCGTTTTAAAGTCCCATTGAACTCGCCAGTTATCAGCTGAGGCTCCAGACCACCCTCCCGCCACACATCCTAGAAAGCTACCCCCAACACCGCGCGGTCTTCACTGGGATTAAGGCTCTTTGTGACGGGGGAGAGAAAAAAGTAACCTGGTGAAAAGCAATTATGACGAGCAGTAGGGAGAATGTCTGTCCCAGGACTGGGGACCTCCCTCTTGGCTGCGGCTGTCCCCACCTTCTAAATTGCCCAGTGGTGGGGGTGTCAGACTCTGCGCCGGCCCTCGCCATCAACCGGGGCTGCAGCTGCACCCACCTCCCACCGTCACTGGACCAGGGCCCTTCCCCACTTCCTCTTCTTTCCTTATTTTTAGGCCATGGCAGGGAGCAGAGAGAAGGGACGTCTTTCATCCTCTCCGTAATCCCCCTCCTCAAGGTAGTCTCAGAAGGAACAGAGAGGGGAGAGGAAGCAGGCTGGAGGGAGTACATCCGTAGAAGAGAGGGCTCACTGACGGTAGGGGAAACTGAGGCTGGGGGGCTCTCCCCAGAAGAGAAGGCTCCGTAAGGGAAGGGGAAACTGAGGCCGGGAGGCCATCCCCAGAAGGCTCACTGAGGGCGTTCCCCCTGAAGAGCTGACCGGGTTGCGGGGGGGTGTCCCAGTGAGGAAGGACCTCCCCCTGGACCTGATTAAAAGCCAGCGGACAGAAGAGGCGGGTTTTATGGCCCGCGAGTTCCACTCCCCACACGCACACCTGGAGGCCCCTGGGAAAGCCCACCGGAGAAGCCAGGGTGGGGGCAGGGCCATCCCTTCGTCCCCGCGCCGCTCGCCTCCTCCCCCGCTCCATCCGGGCCGGGCCGCGCCGCCTTTAATTGAGATTTGCCCTCAGGTGTGGCCCCCGCCCAGGCCCCGCAGGGACCCGGGAGGACAGGGTACGCCTTCTCGCCCCCTCCCTCTTCCGCCCGCCCAGCCCCGCTCCCCGCCCCCGCCCTCCTCACCGGAAAAAAGCAATCTGGCTGCCCGAGGAGGCTCCTGGCGTCCGCGGGTCGCTCGGGCCCCGCCGGGCTCCGTAGTGCCCTTGCCCGCGCCTCGGGCTTGGGCCCGGCCGGATGCCCGTCCCGGCCCCGGCCCCTCCGGGGGCTCGGGTTTTCTTCCCCAACAGGTAGCACGGGCCGCGCTGCGCGAGCCCAGGAAACCCGAGCCCGCGCCAGGGAGGGGCCGCCCGGCCTGGACGCGCCCTGGACCGCCCGCCTCCCGCGGGGCCGAGCCCGCCGCCTCCAGGGGCCCCGGCGCTGCGGGCCGCGCCTGCACCTGCCGGGGCCACGCCTGGCCGGGACGGACAGGCTGGTTTCCAGGGGTGCCCGGTGGTTGGATCCCCCACCCCGCTTCAGATAACCCGTTTGCAGGAAAATGGTTTTATTCTGGGGATGGGAGTTGGGGGTGGGGTGCAGGCCTGGGTCGCGGAATGTGAGGAGTGGCCAACCCTCTATTCTCTTTCTCTCCCCCTCTTTTTTCCTGAAACAAACAAAAAAAGTCCCTTCCTACAGTGCGGCCGGGATGAGTTTGGGGGCTGGGGGCAGACTGAGGGAGCAGATTTTGAGGACAGCCACCTCCAGACGGTGTCTGCAAGGTCTCGAGGCCCCGGCCTTTCAGGAGCCCGGCTGGGAGGCTGGCGGCTGAGATCAGGGTGACACTCAGTTCCTCTCCAGGGCCTGCCACCCGGGCCACTGTGCCAGCCGCCCCTGGGGCACCCGCCTGCCCCTTCCTAGCGGGGGGTGCGCTGGCTGCTTCTCGGCCCTCCCGCCACCCAGCCCAGTCCTTGGATTAAGAAGGGAAGGGGACGGGAAGGCGGCCCAAGGGTGTTGCCCCTTGCCTCCCTGACTACGTGAGGGGCTGGGGCCTCCGCGTGCGCTTGGTCCGGCGCGTGGGGGCGGAGCCCACAAACTCGAATTGCTTCTGCTTGTCGGCGTGGTTGGGGAAGGGCAGCTGGCCCTGGTAGAGGCGCTTGATGAAGTGGGCCTCGCGCTGGTTTTGGCGGCTGCGGGAGGCCTGGCGGGGCCGCCCCTGCCGCGTGAAGGCCATGAACCAGCCCTCGTGCCGGGCGTTCTGGAAGGCCGTGTAGTTGTTCTCTAGCACGATCTCCGTGAACACGCAATCTTTGCTCTTCCCGCTGGGCTGCGGGAGAAGCAGGAGAGGAAGGGCATTGTCCACCTACCCTGGTCTGGGGTGTCTGCCCTTAGGGCCTCTCTTGGAGGATGGAGGAGGGACCACGGGAACAGTAGGGCCCTGAGCCCAGGGAACTCTGCCTGGTGAAATGGCGTCCTAGTTAGAGAGGCAACAGTGGCCAAAACACACTGCGGATCTGAGTTGCAGGCTTGTCATTTAGCAGCCCTATACGAGGCTGAGCCTCAGCTTCCTGAGTTGCAGGTGGAGATCAAGGTCCTGCCACAGTTCTGAGCGTGCCCGTGCCCTTAGCGCTGAGAATGCTCATGCAGCCTGGGTGAGTGGTGCGGCTGGGCGTGGGAGAGGAGGCAGCAGCCTCCAATGAGAAGAAAGAAGGGCGCCAGCGTGGCGACCCATACCACCCTGCCAACAGTCTGGGGGTTGTGCCCATTTCCACAGACAAGAAGCCCGAGGCTTGAGAAAGAGAAGCAAACCAGCAGCCGGGATGGGAATCTGGGACTGCCTGATTCCAAACGAAGTGGAATTCGCCTACCCAACAGGGCTGGGCCCACCGTGTGGTTTGGTGGCAGCAGCTGCTTAGCATGTATCTTGCGAGCTGGAGCGCCCCCACCTCCCCGGCCCCACTGAAGGTGGGAGAGTTCCTGCCTTACCTCTGTGCCCCACTTTCCACCCTTAGCTGCCCTTAATCCTCCACCCAAAGGCTGCAGTGTCAGGTAGATGCTAAACTCTTCCTGATGCCTGCTGGAGAAATACTCCTGACGTCAGCCCACCCATCCCGATGGCTTGCCAGTCCCCTCAGAGGGCTAACAGAGTCCCAGGGACTCATTTAAATAGAGAAACCAGGCCGGGCTCATTGGCTCAGCCTGTAACCCCAGCACTTTGGGAGGCTGAGGTGAGAGGATCAGCCCATGAGTTTGTAGAGACAGGGCCTCACTATGTTGCCCTGGCTGGTCTCAAATAAAAAATTAGCTGGGCATGGTGGCATGCACCTATAGTGCCAGCTACTACTTGGGAGGCTGAGGGGAGAGGATCGCTTGAGCCCAAGAGTTCAAGGCTGCAGTGGGCTATGATTGTGCTACCGCACTCCAGCCTAGGTAGCAGAGCCAGACTGGGACTCTAAAATAAAATAAAGAAACCAGAGAGTGGCCCAGTGGGTGGGCTGGGAGTGGGATGGGAAGTCTTTGTGCAGGAGGGTGTGGCTCAGAGGAGGGAGAGGGGAGCGAGCTGCCCTCTGTGTCCCCACCCCAGAAGTCCTGATTCTTTGTTCCTTCCCAGTCTCCCGCCTCACCTTCCCGATGAGCTTGCCCCTCTTGTTCATACAGATGTACTTCTCGCTCTCAGCCCCTTTGATGCGAACCCGGCTGCCAAACGTGTCGGTCTCCACTATGAGCTTGGCTGTGGTGGGGGAGGGGAGAAAAACCTCCGTCCATCGGGGCTGCCGGCCTATGGCTACGGCAGGGGACTGCCCAGCCACACTGACCTCCAGACTCAGGCGAGGGGGTTGGGGATGCTCAGGGCCTTGGGGCCCTCAGCCCTGACACAGGATCTGGGAATGGACCAGGAGGTGAGGCAGGGTGGAGGTGTGGGTGGCCTGAGGGGAGGGCCAGCTCTCACCAAACTTGTTGCCGTCCTCAGCGGTGGCGGAGATGCGACGCCCGGTGACCTGCACGTGCTTGCCGCTGGTCCGGCTGTAGAGCTGGTACTCGCGGATCTGCCGCCTGCTCAGCTGGTCAGTCATGGCACCCTGGTCCCTCACGTACTGGTTAAAATTAGGAGACGGGTGATTCTCCCCCTTTGCGGTTACCAAGGGAAAAATAGTGTCAATTTGCTTTGGGTGACACCACCGCTGGTCCATCCAAGGGAGAGGGGTGAGGTGAATGTAGTGGGGACAGGCCACTGGTCCTGCAGAGTGAAGAGGGCATATGGCCATAACCTTCCCAGGCCCCTGGATGAGCCAGCCGGTCATAACCTCTTGGCTTTGCATCTACCCTAGAGCAGGGGTGGACTGCCCAGGCTGGGGAACACTTAGTGACAGAGCACAGCCGTGGAATCAGGACCCTGGGAGGTGGAAGGAGCCTTCAGGGTTCTATCCCATCCTTATGTTCTATGGAGGAGGTGCACAGGGCACACAGCTCATGAGGGACAGAACCCCTGTCCCTGCCTCTTAGACCAGAGCCCGTCACCTCCCCGCAGAACTCCAGGGACATGGCTCCATTAGCCAGGACCATTAGATTCCTTCCTGATCCTCCCCAATGTCCTTGAAAGACCCCTTGCCCAGCACACAGGGGCACAGAGCAGATGGCGCTCCGAGTTAGAGTCGCCAGAGAGCATGTAGGGGTCTCTGGAGGCTCCTGCAGGGCCCTGTGAACATGTCTTCTCAGCACTAACCAGGGAATCCTGGGCTCATACCCATCTTCTGCCCTGCCTCGACCCCTGGTGCTCAGGGCCCTTCCAGCATTCCTCCCTCCTCTATGGGCTGGAGCTGGAGCTGGGGCTAGCTGGCAGGGGGGCTAGGGGTGGGCACGAAGGGAGAGCAGGCAGGCAAGGTGCCTCCTTAGCGGAGGGAGGCAGAGGCAGCACCGAAAGGAGAGGCGCTATCAGCAGTGGGCCAATGGCTGCCCCTGCCAGGCGGCTCCTTTGCCACAATGTAACAGGGGCTCCTGGCCAGTTGGGGGGATGCGCCTACCCACCTGTTTCCCCTCTGGAGGGCAGGAAGAGGAGCCATTTCCCCCCACACACTGTGCAAAGCCAGGAGGGGTGCTGCCTCCCAGCTAGGTCTCTCCTTTCCCATCTGTAAGGTTGAGTGGGGGAGCCCCGGTGTACTGCTTGCCCTCCATCCTGCAAGGTGCCACCCAGGCTAGGCTTCCCAGCTGCTGGCAACAGCCTGAGCTCTAACTTGAGAATGCACCTTTTGTGTTGTTTCTCTCTCCACCTGGATGCTGCTGCTTGTGCTGGGACGGCTTTCCCAGCCCCTGCTCCAAATCCCTAATTCCACCTTTATCCCAGGCCCAACCCCAGCCATCTGGACAGAGCTAGACCCAGGTCAGCATCTGTTAGGGTCTACTCTCTCCTAGGGAGGGGTGGTAAATATCACCTTTGAGGAGGGGAGTGAGGGAGCAGCTCTGGGGCTGGCCGTTTTCACCTGCGCACGGTTAACCCTTCCTGTGCACTGTTGCTCATTTCCAATTGCAGTTCCCCATAGAGCAGCCTCTGCAGGACCTGCCCCTCGCCCCACCCTGGAGCATTTGGGGTGGGGGACCTGCCCAGCCTGCCCCTCGCTGGCCTCCCTGCCAGGGGGTGGGGTCCTGCCTGGCCCAGCCCCGCCTCCTGGCCCAGGTTCAGGCCCTCCGCCCCTCTTGGCCGACAGCCTCCTCTGGCAGTCTGTTCCAGGTCAGGAGCAGAGAGCGCCCCCGCAAGCCCCCTCCTCTCCTTGTCCCCCTTCAAGCCTTTCACAAAGGCAGCCCCACGCCCCCCCACAGTCCACAGCCCACAAGTCCCTCTCCCCGCGGGACCTAGCCTGTCCCTTTCATGTTCCCGCTGCGGGGGACCTCCCCTTCCACCACTGCAGACAGCTGCTTGTCAGACGGCCCCTCAAGCATGGCTGTGGTCCGGTCTGCTGGCCCCCCCTCCCAGGGGGGTGAGGGGGCACTTCAAGGGGGAAAGGACCGCTTTGCCACCTTCCCTCAGTCCTGAATGGGGCCTCAGCCAGGCCATAAACGCCCGGCCAGCGGCACCATTGTGCTAGTTCCCTTCCAGAACAGGTTGGGCCCACCCCCAGCCCCCTCCCAGCCTGGCTGGGGGCTTTCTTCTGGCTCCCCCTGGATGTGTGAAGCAAAAGGCCTGGAACGGGGCTGGAGCAAAAGGGGGAAGGAAAGGGGGGGAGAGTTGTCTCTCCCTCTCCCACACCCCCACTGCTTCAAAGGCTGCCCCTTTCCCTCTCCCAGAGAAAAGGCATTTACCTTCAAAAAAAGTCCCCACTGGATATGAAGAGAAGCGGCCTCTGGCCTGGGAAAGCCAAGCGATCTCTCCCCAGAGCGGTTCTGGACCAGTGCATTTTAATAGCTGCACTTTTATGGAGGATCACAAAAAAGGGAGCAAGCCTCGCACTGGGGGCTAAGACTTGGGGGTGGGAGGTGTGCATGGAAGGAGGTGGGGGGCCGACGTGGGGTGGGGGAGCATGGAGAAGCAAACCCTGCATCCCATCCCAAACAACCCTCTTCGGGCTTGACCTCTGTGCCCTCTAGGTGAGGAGTCACCTCACCCTGGCCGGGCATTCTGGATATGCTCATGAGACCCCCCCCCACCCCGGGCACCCATATTGATGGAGTCTGGTGGCCAGAGGGACATACAAGTGATTTTGCATCGAAACCTATCCTTTCAGGTACTGGCAAACCCAAGCCTCACCTGAGCCATCACTGCCACCCACTTCCAACCGATCCAGGGCTCCGTACCTCAGGTCCGGAGTGCCAACACTTAGCTTTATGGGGGAACCCGGTGGAGAGGGATGGAGAGGAGCAGAGACCCAGGGGAAGCCAGGAGGGTCCTCAGAGAGAGGACAGAGATAACAACTTAGCCCCCTTCCCTGCCCTCCCTGTCAAAGGCTCACTCCTCTCCAAACCTCAGTGCCTCCTGGACCCGGGGAGAGGCCAGACTCTGCCTCTGCCCACCTGAAAGGAGCAGGTTACCCGCACCTGCCCAGGTTAGGTGGGATGGGAAAATTGGGGGAAAGCCGGTGGGAGCGCCTGCCTACCTGAGTTTGACAGCAGAGAATCAGCAGCTGGAAGCACCTGTGAGGATGGAGGAGGTAAGCCCAGGTGTGGGTGCCAGCCACAAGCCCAGGGTGCACTCAGGCCCCCCCCAACCCTGCCAGCCCTGTGCGAACACGCGTGGGAGTCCCGGGAAGAGGAGGGCTGCCCTGAGGCTGGAAATGGCAACAAAACTCCAGCGGGAGAGGCAGCACACTTACAGAGTGAGGTTGGGCAGCAGGCGGGCGGCTCCCATCGCTGGAGAGGTTCCTCAGGCGGTTGCCCCCCTGCCCCCAAGCTCAGGAGCAGATGTGGGCAGTCCCCAGGAGTAGAGTCCCAGAGAAGCCAAGGTCTCTCCAAGCCACAGGTTTTCAGGGGGGCGAGGAGGAGAGAAAGGGGAGGAGGAGGAGAGAGAAGAGGGAGGAGGAGGGGGAGGAGGAGGGCGTAATTGGGAGACTGAGGTATGAGGTGTCCACCTTCCTGGCCAGTGAGGCTGCAAAGCAGATGCAGGTGGGGGTGTGCGCTCTGTGCCCTCCGGGCTGCCCCTCTCTCCTGGGCCACCCAGTGCAGGGATGGAGCAGTGGGCACCTTCTGAAGGAGGTCTCCTGCTCTATTGCTGACCCTCACAGACTGGCCAAACTCGATGCAGGCAAGCTCAATGTGTGGCAGGCAAGGGAGGGGGAGCCCCTCCTCCTCTGTCTGGGGCTGCGGTCTCCTACCCTAAGGTCTGGTGCCCCACCTCCCTAAGGGTGAGCTGCAGGTGCCAAGCGGGGCTGGGGTCTCTGGCTCTGGGTCCGGAGTGGAAATTCCCAGAAGCAGCCTTAAAAGGAGGAGCCTCCCTCCAGGGGGCAGGGGTGGGCTTGGCTTGGAGCAGCTGATTGCTGGGGAAGGAGGGGTTAAGGCTGCCCTGACCGGCAGCAAATAGTGGGCACAACAGGTTGGGGGTCAGAGGTGGATTGGCAGGTACAGATGGAGATCTAGGAAGAATCCCAGTTGAGAGTTGGAAAAGCTGGCCTGAGACAGATACTGGGAGAAGAGCTGGGTGTCCTGGCCTAAGCCCCTTTTCCCTGGGCCTCTGTAGTGCCGTCTGAGAAATGAGGACAGCAATGCCTCAGGATGTTGGGGGGTCAAGTGTGAAATCATCACACAGCTGACTTCAAGATGTCTGTGTTCCGAGACCCAGGTCCACTCACCATTCTGCATCCTGTTCCTTCTCATGCCTGTCCCTGGAGCCTCTCTGAGCTAGGAGCAGCTCAGCATCCCCTCCCTGTGTCCTGTGTCCCTGAAATGAAGTGCCTACCAGCCTCTTCCCATGACCTCTGGTCCCACACAGCTCAATACCATGCCAGTGACTAGCCCATTTTGCAGATGAGGAAACTGAGGCACACTGGTAGGTAATTTGCTCAGAATGACCCAGCTAGTGAACAGAAGAGCCAGAACAGAAAAGTCCACGCTTTTTCCGGACCTCCAGGTCCAGCCCCAAACCTGCTTCATTGTAGGGACACAGAAGCCTTCCTGCGTGTTCAGGATTAAAGGTGGGATCTGAGGTCCTGGAGACTGGTGACCACAGAGCTTCATGCTGTTCCCTCCCTACGGAAAAGTGGATGACCGCAACTGTAGAAGATGGGAGGGCTTGGGGGTCCGAGGGAAGAGCCAGTGTGAGCAAGCAGAGCTCAGGCCTCGGCTCTGGGCTCCCTGGAGTTCTCAGTGCCCTCAGGGTGGCAAGGGAAGGGGAAGTGACAGATGTGAATTTATTTACCTAAAGAGATGACCGGGAGGGCGAAACTCTCACCTGTGGGTTCCTTCTCACCTCTCTGAGCTCCATCAATCCACAAAGTGGTCTGCCACCCCTGCCCCCATACACGGACCAGTGCAGGCAGCTCCCGGCTCTCCTCTCCGCAGGCTGTTCCTCAGGAACCCAGCCCAGGAGTGGGTGAGCCTGAGGTGGTGTGGGGAGGATGGTGTGAGCCCTGGCCTTGCTTACTTGGGTGAGTCCAGGGTTCTGGAATGAAACTCAAAGAATGTCAAAGCTAGAAGGGGTCTTAGGGATTCATCATTTTTTCCAACCTCCTCATTCCTCGGATGAGAGCCAGAGAGGGCAACGAACTCTCCCAGAGCCTTACAGCTAGCTGGTGGCACGGCTGGGACAAGGCACCAGTGGACCACATGCCCACCTCTCTGCTTTTCCCCTGTGGATCCTTCCCGTCATCTACAGCTTGGGTTACGCTCTGCCTCTTCTGGCAGCTCGGGCTCCTTCCCTGGGAAACCTTCAACCTCATCTCCACATCCTCACCAGCTCCCACGCCCCAGGCAGGGCGTTAAAGAGAGCACAGACACTTGGAGGGCACAGCTCAGGCCTTGGGTTCCAGAATAGGGTTGCCAGCTGGGGGCAGAAGGCAGGTGAGGGCTCCACTTTATGATGTCGGGACTCACTGGCCATGGGGACCGTGGGAGCCGCTCAAGGCCTCTGAGCCCAAGTACCTGGTTTCTATCCATGGAGCCAGGGCCTGCTGTCACTGGCCAGCTCTCAGGCCAGCCTGGGTCTCTATGGTAACAAATGCCAGTCAAGCGGGCCTCAGGGCTCAGCCAGGGGACTCTGGGCAAGGCTAGATGGCCTGCATCACAGACAACACAGCTGTGGATCTTTATCCCTTCCTGATGGGCACCTGCAGGCCTGGTTTTCTTTTTTAGGGGCAGGGGGCGGAGTCTCCCTTTGTCGCCTAGGTTGGAGTGCAGTGGTGTGATCGCAGATCACTGTAACCTCCACCTCAAGCAATTCCCCTGCCTCAGCCTCCCCAGTAGCTGGGATTACAGGTGCACAACACCATGCCCAGCTAATTTTTTTTCATTTTTAGTAGGGACGGGGTTTCGCTATGTTGGCCAGGCTGGTCTCGAACTCCTGACCTCATGATCCACCCACCTCAGCCTCTTGAAGTGCTGGTATTTCAGGCGTGAGCCACCACGACCAGCCAGGCCTGGCCTTCTAACTTGGTTTGCTCCTTTACGCCCATGGGGAAGCCAGTGGTGGGCCTCAGTAGGAGGGGCATGGAGCCCTATATTTGGTCCCCGCCCCCTTGCCCTGCTCCTTACAGGCTGTGTGACCTGTGGCAAGTCCCTTCTCTTCTCTGGTTTCAGGGTCCCCGTTTATAAAAAGGAAATGGCTACCACCAGGGATGCTGTCAAAACCGCCGCCGTCCACGTCAGCCGAGATAAAGGACTGGCCAAAACGCATCAAGTGCCACAAGAAGTGGGGCAGGGGCCCTTTTTGGGGCTTAGCCTCAGTTGACCTAAACTGTCAGACTTGCTCCCTTGACTGGAGTGAGCTGGGGGTGGGGGGAGGGAAGGAGGGTGGGGCTTATTAACATTCATTGCTGGGGAAGGGTTCAGGAGGTGACAAGGGAAGTGAGAAGTAGCCTGGGCTGCTGTGGTTAATCCCTACCCCCTAGTGCCAAGTTCAACGCCCCCCACCCGGGGTCGTCTTACGCCTGCCTCTCCTAACAGCCCAGCTGGTGCCAACAGAGCCCACCTGCAAATCTGCCACTTGCCACCACCTGCTTCAGCCCAGCCCACCCTCTTCCTGCTGAAAAACAGAAGCGCTGGGGCAGGGGAAAGGCGAAGGGCAGAGGGCAAAGGGCACCCTATCGATGAGGATGGACCCCCCACCTTTGCAATTTGTTTTGTTTTATTTGAGACAGAGTTTTGCTGTGTTGCCCAGGCTGGAGGGCAATGGCATGATCTTGGCTCATGACAACCTGCACCTCCCAGGTTCAAGAGATTCTCCTGCCTCAGCCTCCCAAGTAGCTGGGATTATAGGCATGCACGACCACGCCCAGCTAATTTTGTTTTTGTTTTTTGAGACAGAGTCTCACTCTGTCACCAGGCTGGAGTGTAGTGGTGTAATCTCGGCTCACTGCAACCTCCACCTCCTGGGTTCAAGCGATTCTCCTGCCTCAGCCTCCTAAGTAGCTGGGACTACATGTGTGTACCACCATGCCCCGCTAACTTTTCTATTTTTTTAGTAGAGATGGGGTTTCACCATGTTGAACAGGCTGATCTTGATCTCCTGACCTTGTGATCTGCCTGCCTCAGCCTTGTGCTGGGATTACAGGCATGAGCCACGGAGCTCAGCCTAATTTTCTATTTTTAGTAGAGACTGGGGTAGCGGGTGAGGTTTCTCCATGTTGGTCAGGCTGGTCTCGAACTCCTAACCTCAGGTGATCTATCTGCCTCCCTAGGCCTCCCAAAGTGCTGAGATTACAGGCATAAGCCATTGCACCCGGCCTCCACCTTTGCAACATATTTCCTACTGCCTGCTTGCCAATCAAAATCAAGTGATCACCAGTTTGTTGCATACCCTCATGTGCTTGGGGCCAGGGGAGGGGAAGAAGTACCTATCCAATACGAGCTCAGCTGTAGAGAGGCCTGGCTGGCCCTCGAGGACTCCCATCACACGGTGGACTGACTTCTAATTCCCATTCTCAGTTTATGAGACTTTGTAAACTGAGCACTGGCGAATGCCTCCCTCTCATCAGCAGAGTGGTCAAAATCCCAGGCTCTGGGGCCAGACTCCCTGGCTCCTCTGCCAGCTGTGTGACCTTGGGGCAGGTTGTCTAACCTCTCTGTGCCACACTTTCCTCACCTGAGAAATGGGGCTGGACTGGGTGTGGTGGCTCACGTCTGTAATCCCAGCACTTCGGGAGGCCAAGGTGGTAGGATAGCTTGATATCAGGAGTTTGAGACCCCCCTCCCTGTCTCTACAAAAATGTTAAAAAATGAGCTTGGTGTGGTGGTGCATGCTTGTAGTGCCATCTACTCAAGAGGGCTGAGGGGGAAGGATAGGTTGAGCACAGAGTTCGAAGCTGCAGTGAGCTATGATCATGCCACTACACTACCACCTGGGTGACAGAGTGAGACCCAGTCTCTTAAAAAAAATGTTAAAAGAAATGGAGCCAATCACAACGCCCTTAAGGCATGGTTACGAGGATTAAAGGAGTGAGTCCTGGGTGTTAGCGGCTGTGAGTGACTACAGCCCATCTGTCTTCAAGCAAGTGTCTGCCTCAGACCCTTTGCATGCTCTGCTCCTGTTCCCAGCAACATCCTCTGGCAGCTCATGAACCCCCCAGCCCCTTCTTGTTCATCACCTCCTCCAGGAGACCTCCTCACCAAACTGCTTCCCCCTGCCCTCCAAATTCGCCTGTTCCACTCCAGACAGTGACTGAAACCATGGTGTTGGTTTTTGTTTCCACTAGACTGTAAGTGACTTGAAGGTGAGGAATTGGGTCTACCCCGGGTTACGGTGGATGAAACCAGGTTCCAAAGGCCCCAGTTGCCCACGTGGAGCAGTCCCCCTGTCACTCTCTGGGTGACCTGAAGTTACTAGTTTGTCTTCTTGCTGGAGGGTGGGACTCTGGTGACCTGAAGTTGGTGGCTTGTCTGTTTCTTGGAAGGTGGGACTCTGGTGACCTGAAGTTGGTGGCTTGTCTGTTTCTTGGAGGGCAGGACTGCGCCCAGTCTGCCTCATGGGTATCGGAAACATGCAGAGAAAATGCCACCCTGGGCAGGGGCGGTGGCTCACATCTGTAATCCCAGCACTTTGAGAGGCCGAGGTGGGAGGATCTCTTGAACCCAAGAGTTAGAGACCAGCTTGGGCAACACAGCAAAACCCCCTGTCTCTACAAAAAATGTTAAAATTAGTTTGGTGTGGTGGCTGGCACCTGTAATTCCAGCACTTTGGGAGGCTGAGATGGGAGGATTGTCCTGAGTCCAGGAGGCCGAGGCTGCAGTGAGCTAGGATTGTGCTACTACCTTCTAGCCTGGGTGACAGAGTGAGACCTGCCTCTAAAAAAAAAAAAAAAAAATTAAAAATAATAAAGAATCCCAACCTGGCCTCTTCTACCTCTGTCTCTGGTCTCAAGAGAAGCTATAGCTGGACAGGAGGCCAAGCCTGGCTGTTGACTTTCCTGGGCAGGTGTTCAAAAAGCTCTAACCTGCTGGACCCCACACCTGGGGGTCCTTGGCAGGACGCCAGGGCCATCTCCCCACTGGTTCACTTCAGGCCTGGCCCCAGAGGGTGCTGGGGAGGGGCGGGGAGAAGCCAGCAGTGGCACCGAATGATCACCTCGAGTAGGGGCCCATCTTTGTGTCGGTCTGCTCCAGAAACTACGCCAGGGCCACCCCTGGGTGGACAGCCCTCCAGAGTCCCCTCTGCATGCCGTGGAGAAGGCAGGGGTCCCCCACCCCATTTGCTACTTCTGTCTTGGCCTCACCCCTATACTTGACTGAGCCCTGCTCCAGAGCACGTGGGGCTTGGTGCCTCTGTAAAACTCACCCCATCTACCCCACTTTGAAGGTTTCCTGAGGGTGCGGGCCTCTAGTTCCCACCTGACACAGATCTTCACACATGGGAGGTCCCTGTGACAAGAGCTGGCCCCTAACAGAAGCAAGTAAGGAGAGCAGGTGTCCCTATAGATGCTCTACACACAGTAGCTGCCTGAGAAGAGTAGGACCCGGAGAAGACCCTGGGGGCTGGCCCCCTAGGGCAAGGCCCTTTCTGGTACCAGGAGCAGCCATAGCCCCTGGGTGCCTGGAAACCTAGCGCTGCCCAGAGGGAGTGCTCCGGCTGGAAACCCACCTGACACCCGGCTCAGCAGAGGGCAGACGCTAGGCTCTTCCCTTGCCACTGGGAGGGAATTAGTGGTGCCAAGCAGGAAGGACACAGCAGCCTCAGGCTGAGGGGGCTGGGTCCAGGGAGGGGGCATGACCTCAGGGCCCGGGTGCGCTGGTTCAAGGCCGCCCTCTGCCGGGCACTTGAGCTGGCACAGTTAAGTAAGGAGGCCGGCAACAGGGAAGAGAAGGGAAGTCCTGACCAGACAACTTTATTGTGACCTGAGGTGGGGGTCCTCACTCGAGGCCTCCTGAAAGTGGAGAGTGGGGGTGAGGGGCTCTCGTGTTGCCCCCACAACACCCCTGTCACATTCAGACAAATGTAGGGGTGGGGCAGGGGTGCCCCGTCCCTGCAGCACAGGCCGGGGAAGGCCCACTCTGCCTCGTGGGCCCCAAGGCGTAGCTCCTCATTTCTTGAATCCTGGCTTTTTGGATCTGGGTGTGGCTTTGGTCTGCAGAGGGAAGGCAGGGCTCCAGGGTCCCACTCCCTCCTCCAGCCCAGGCAGCCTCCCCAAAGAGCACCCACCTGTCCCAGGGGCCTACCCTCTGGTCCTACTCACCTTCTTCTCAGGGCTCTTGTCTCTAATGCTGGGTCTGCAACAGGGTGGAGTGGACCAGGAGTGGGATGGGGGTCAGGGAGAAAGCTCAGCTTCAGACCAGTGGTGCAGCCCTCCCGGTGCCCACCCTGGCTGCTCCTCCTGGGGACCCATCAGACTCTCTTTTTATTGTTGTTGGAGACAGAGTCTTGCTCTATTGCCCAGGCTGGAGTGCAGTGGTGCGATCTCAGCTCACTGCAACCTCCGCTGCCCGGGTTGAAGTGATTCTCCCCGCTCAGCCTCCTGAGTAGCTGGGATGACAGGCTCATGCCACCACGCCCAGCTAATTTTTGTATTTTTAGTAGAGATGGGGTTTCACCATGTTGCCCAGGATGGTCTCGATCTCCTCACCTCATGATCTACCCACCCTGGCCTCCCGAAGTGCTGGGATTACAGGTGTGAGCCATCGTGACTGGCCCACTCTGGCACTTTTTAAACAAAGGGGGGTGTGTGTGAACGCATGCATGCACATGTATGTTTTCCTTAGGCTTCCATCTTTGTTTAGTTATCACAAATGTCTTTGTTTTGTTTTTGAGATGGAGTCTGGCTCTGTTGCACAGGCTGGAGTGCAGTTACACCATCACAGCTCACTGCAGCCTTGACCTCCAGGGCTCAAGTGATCCTCCTGCCTCAGTCTCCCGAGTAGCTGGGACTGCAGGTGTGCACCACCACACCTGGCCCACAAATGTGCTTTTCATTACAAAAGTAATGTTAACCATTTTCTACAAAATATAGCAAATAGACAAGAAAATATATTACTTATAGTTTCCTTTACTGCCCACACTAAACATTTTGGTGTATTTTCTTTCAGGGTTTTTTTGTTGTTGTTGTTCAAAAAAAATTTTTTTTTCTTGAGATAGAGTCTTTCTCTGTTGCCCAGGCTGGAGTGCAGTCCTGAGATCTTGGTTCACTGCAACCTTCGCATTCTGGGTTCAAGTGATTCTCCTACCTCAGCCTCCCAAGTAGCTGGGACTACAGGAAAGCGCCACCATGCCCACCTAATTTTTCTACTTTTGGTAGAGACAAGGTTTCACGATGTTGGCCAGGCTGGTTTCAAACTCCTGACCTCAAGTGATCCTCCCACCTTGGCTTCCCAAAGTGCTGGGACAAGTGTGAGCCACCACACACACCCAGCCTGGTCAAACTCTTTTTAAAAATGTGATAAAATAAAAATGACCTTATAGCCCTCTGTATAAACTACCAATATTCCTGCCAAGTGCAGAGGCTCACACTTGCAATTCCAGTGCTTTGGGAGGCTGAGGCAGGATTGCTTGAGGCCAGGAGTTTGAGATCAGCCTTGGCAACATAGAAAGACCCTGTCTCTACACAAAACTTAAAAATTAGCCACCCATGGTGGCACACACCTATTGTCCTAGCTACTAGGAAGGCTGAGACAGGAGGATTGCTTGAGGCCAGGAAGTGAAGGCTGCAGTGAGCCATGATTTGTGCCACTGCACTCCAGCCTGGGTGGCAGAGCAAAATGCTGTCTCATTAAATAAACCAATCAAAACTATACACATACATTCCACGTTGCTATATTCTTCACAAGCGTTATGAAATCTTCCATTGAGAAGATACATGTAGCTTAGTCAATCGTTATACTGCTAGACATTTACAATGCTTCCATTTTTCCACTATTATTTGAATAATACCATGATAAACATCCTTTTTTAAACTGTTTTTTTGAGACCCAGTTTCGCTCTGTCATCCAGGCTGGAGTGCAGTGGTACGATCTCAGCTCTCTGCAACTTCCACCCGGGTTCAAGCAATTCTTGTGCCTTAGTCTCCTGGGCGGCTGGGATTACAGGCAGGGGCCACCAGGCATAGCTAATTTTTGTACTTTTAGTAGACACAGGGTTCCATCATTTTGGCCAGGCTAATCTCAAACTCTTCACCTCAAGTAATCCGCCCACCTTGGCCTCCCAAAGTGTGGGGATTACAGGCATGAACCACCACACCCAGCCATAAGAAACATCTTAGTACAGATAATTTCCCCTGAATTTTGGATGGAATTCTTCGGAAGGAATTTCCTTCAGTGGAATTAGGTCTCAATATAAGAACGTTGTAATGCTTTGCCAGAAAGGTGATGCAACCCTCCCATGCTTCTATGCCCATGTGCCTGTGTGTGCAGGAATACACACCGTGTGTGCATTTGTACACATACACACCAACAACACAGTATTCTTTCTAATACTGTACATCTCATCTAAGACTGGCTAATTTAATTGGTAGAAAGAATTACCTTACTTCCTCTTGTTCTTTTTCCAGCTTTTTTTTCTAGAAACCAAAAACGAGTGTATTAGGAGAGTTAGAGCCAGAAGAGACTCCCAGCATCCACAGGGTCCCCGCTGAGCACCTGGACAGAAATGGCCACGGCGGCCTAGTCCCATCCTGCACACTGAGAAGGCTGGCCCAAGCTCCTGGTGCCCCACCCCTCTGAGGAGCTTCTGCAGGGGCAGTACCTCCTTCCAAACAGCCACACTCCTTCCCCCACCTTAGCCACGCTCGCCTGCTTCTGGGGCACCAGCCTTTTGCCTTGTTTGACAGGGGATTCTTCCTCCAGAGATATATCTACATCCTCATCCTCATCATCTTCTTCCTCCTCTTCCTCTTCCTCCTCTTCCCCTTCTTCTTCCTCCTCCTCCTCCCAGGTTTCTGTGATAGCATGGGAAAGAGGGCAGGGGCACAGGTTCAGAGCTACAGAATCGATGCCCACCTCCCATTGTGTGATTCTGGTTGCTCCAAGCACTGCCCTGGAGGAATCCCAGCCTGGAGTTACCTACCTGCCACCTGTACAGGGTGGTGCCCTTTCTGGTCCTCCTGACAGTGGATGCCAGGAGTGGTTACCTACCTGCCACCTGTACGGGGTGGTGCCCTTTCTGGTCCTCCTGACAGTGGAAGCCAGGCTAGCTTAGGGGATCTAGGAGAGCCCTGCAGGGGGCTGAGGGTGGTAGAAAGAGGGCAGGAGGAGGGGCTGTGGCTGAGTAGGAGAGGTTTTCATATTGGCAAGGGCTGGGGCCAAGGCTAAAGGCGGGCAGGGTTGGGGAGGAAAAGGACAGGGGGAAGGAATCTAAGAAACAGCTAAAGAACTAAAACCTTATCCTAAGAGAAGTGGGACCTGCCAAGGCTTTTTAGTTGGAGAGTACCCTGATGTGACTGAGGCCTAATCATACAGAAAAAACGGCCAGTTGAAGGATCTAGAAGGAATCAGCATCCTGCCATGTTGCTATAGTCTGCATCACTGCGGCAGTGATATCAACAGTGGCTCCCTAGTACCAGATGTTGCACTGAGTGCTTTTCCTGAATATCCCATTTATTCTTCACAACTGCTCTTTGAACTATGCAAGTAAGGGGCTGTGGTCCACAGAGGTCATGGCAGGTAAAGAAGAACAGAGACCAGCGTCCTTGCCTGTGGCCTTCCAGTCCAGGCTGCTGGCCATCCTGTTGCCTTTAGGGATTTTTCTCCCAAAATTCAAGAATCCCTCCAGTGTTTGAGTAGCCAGTATGTCTGGAGTGCCCGCTGGGCATGGTACTCTCGGACCTTCCTGAGCCTGGGCTCTGACTTACCATAACGTTCCTGGCCACTGAGGAACACAGGTCCTGAGCCAGCCCGGAGTTGGAAAGTAACTGGGGGAGAAAGCTGTACTCCAACCATGGTGACCTGCAGTGGGAAGAATCAGAGAAGACAGGGCCACTTAGGCCTGGCACCTCTCGGGAGCTGGCCTCGGGCAGAAATAGTGAGTTGATTTCCCTCCCTGAACCCTACGCACTACTCATGGGTTGCGTGGACCTTACTGCATTCTCAGCCCCGTACCCGCCTGCCAAGGTGGGCTCTGTCCAAGAAGAATTCGAACCCGGTAATCCCATTCTTGCTCAACTCACAGATAGCCTTCCAAGCTGAGGGGCAGCTGTCAGATAGGAGTCTGATTGTTATGAGCTGAATTATGGCCACTCTCTCATCCTCCAAATTCCTATTTTGAAGCCCTATCCTCCAATGTGATAGTATTTGAAAAGTGATTGGGGGGGTGGGTCTTGGGGAGTGATTAGGTTTGGGGTCATGAGGGCGGGGCACTCATGATAGAATTAGTGCCTTTACAAGATAAGACACTATAGAACTCACTCACTCTTTCTCTCCACTCTCCACTCTCCTGCCCCACCATGTGAACACACAGCAAGAAGGCTGCTGTCTGCAAGTCAGGGAGAGAGCCCTTACCAGAAACCAACCATGCCGGCCCCCAATCTCAGACTTTCAGCCTCCAGAACTGTGAGAAAACATCTGTTGCTAAAGCCCTCCAGTCTGGTATTTTGTAATAGCAACTAGGGCAGACTGAGATGCTCACCGATCAAATGAGAAAGCAGATGCACGATTTTATGTACAATACTACTTTCTTCACATCAGACAGGTCATGTGCCAACTCGTAACCAGGTTTGTGGAGGCACATCTAACACATGAGCGTGAAACTCCAATTATCACACTTATAAATGACAAGAATCTCTACAATACTACTTTTGTCTTACACATTATGTATGGCTATACATGTGAAAAAGACTTGAAATGTATTAAAATGCTAACCACAATTGTCAGTAGACATTACGGTATTTATTTATACTTTCCCAAACTTTCCGAATTTTCTAGAATGACAATAGCTTATTTTATTTTAGCTTCTGCCACTAGCCAAGAACCCTGTTAAGTGTTTTATCTGCATTATCTCATTTAAATCCTCATAAGAAACCCATGATGGAAATACTAATACTTTAAAGAAGAGAAAACTGAGACTTAGAGTGAATAACTTAGAGCTTCTAAGCTCTAAGTTCAGATAGGAGGTAATAAGCAAAAACAAACTCTGCAGCCAGAGCCACTTAGAAGTTCCAGAGAGAATGTAATTCAGTGTTTTGATGGCATGGCTAAACAGTAACACAGACGAGTCCTTGAGCATAAAAAATGAAGACAGGATGCCTTCTGATTAGTGATGAATGAAAAAAAAGAAATGAAGAGAGGCAGGTGCAGGAACTGGTGTGCAGCAACTGAGGGAAAATGGACCTGAAAATAGCCAGGGCTTTGGGCTTCAAAACTCATACACAGTCTGGACTCGGTGGCTCATGCCTGTAATCCCAGCACTTTGGGAGGCCAAGGCAGGGAGATCACTTGAGGTCAGGAGTTTGAGACCAGCCTGGCCAACATGGAGAAACCCCATCTCTATTAAAAATACAAAATTAGCTGGGCGTGGTGGCACATGCCTGTAATTGGAACTACTTGGGAGGCTGAGGCAGGAGAATCGCTTGAACCCAGGAAGCGGGGGCTGCAGTAAGCACCAAGATTGCGCCATTGCACTCCAGCCTGGGTAACAAAAGTGAAACTCCATCTCAAAAAAAAAAAAAAAAAAAAAAAAAAAAAAAAAAAAAAAGCTCAAACCAGCCCTCTTCTCCTCAAAAAAGGAAAAACAAAAAATTAAAATCCTAGCCACCATTAAAGGAAACTAACAAGGAAGCATAAATGGAAATAAAAGCCGCCTCCTGTGAAAGCCTAGACCCATAGCTGTGCCTCTCAGTTGTGTGGTTTGAATTACTCATTGAGTACCCCCAACCCAAGAAATGTGTATAAAATCCCAAGCTTATATATTCCTGAGGTAAATGGCAGAAGCAAACACGAAACCAGTCCGTTGGGACACTCCCCAAACTCAGGCCACATCAAATTCTTTTGGGAAAATACAAAATAAACTAAACATGAGCTCACCATATAAAATTACAAAACACACAAGAAAGAATCCCGCTAGCGTTAATGGAAAGAAACCAAATGACTGCAGACTCACCCAACTAAGAACTTAAGAGAACACTCATCTAAAACAGTATCAAATTAAGCTGGGTATGGTGATGCACGCCTGTAGCACAGGCTTTTCAGGAGGCTGAGGCAGAAAGATTGCTTGAACTTGGGAGTTCAAGGCTATAGTGGGCTGTGATTGCAATGGCACTCCAGACCGGGCAACAGAGCAAGATCTCGTCTCTAAAGTATGTATATACACATATATGTATGTAATAAGTTTAAAACCAAATAAATGTAAAAGCAAGAATCAGAACCATAAGAACAAGACATCACGAAAAAGAAAAAGACCCAAATGCAGCTTTCCAGACATAAAAAGCTGAAGCTGAGGCTGGGCATGGTGGCTCATGCCTAGAATCCCAGCACTGTCAGAGACCAAGGTGGGAGGATTGCTTGAGGCCAGAACTTATAAACCAGCCTGGACAACATAGTAAGACTTCAGCTCTATAAAAAAACTAATAATAAGAATTAGCTGGACATGGTGGCTCGTTCCTGTAGTCCCAGCTACTCGGGAGGTTGAGTGGGAGGATCACTTGAGCCCAGAAGTTTGAGGCTGCAGTGAGCCATGATCATGCCACTGTACTCCAGCCTGGGCAACAGAGCAAGACCTTGTCTTTAAAACAAAAATAAAAGAAAACCTCAACAAATGATTAAAAAGCAGAATAAACCAGCAGAAGCCAAATTAGTATAATCAATAGTGCTATGAGGAATTACCAATTATAAGGCACAGGGAGAGATTTAAAGAAACATGAAAGACAGGTTAACACGGAGGACAGAGTGAGAAAGTCCAACATATATCGAATTGGAGGAGGGACTAGAGAGACTGGAAGACAGTCAATATTCAAAGGGAAGACAACCAAGTATTTTCCAGAAGTGATCAAAGACATAGATCTTCATATCTGAAAACCTAAGTCCTAAACAGATAAGTAAAAAATCAATCTACACATGAACATATGGTAAAACTACAGAAAATAAAAACAAAAGATACCTTAAAATCAATCAGAGAGCAAAGACATCTCCAAAAAAAGGAATAATCAGACAGATTAAGGATTTCAAGAGCAATACTGGAAACCAGAATAGAACAACAGCTTTGAAGCTGAAGGAAATTCTCTACCTAGAATTATATACACAGCCAAACCATCGTGAAGGAATGAGGACAAAATCATGGTATTTCTAGACAAAGCCTGGGTAAGTTTACTATTCTCAGGCCCACTAAAGTATGTTTCTAAAAAAGATAAGAAATTAAATCAAGAAGTGAGTGCAAGAAGCAGCCGCAACCAAACTAATTGGTAAACAAAGTAAACCTACATAAGTATTAATTGGAAAATACAATAGTACTAGTAATGAATTGTGTTGAGTAGGCCGACAAGTTGGAGCTACAACACTAGATAATATTTAAGTTAAAAAGAGGAGAATCAGGCCGGGCACAGTGGCTCACACCTGTAATTCCAACACTTTGGGAGGCCAAGGGAGGTGGATCACCTCAGGTCAGGAGTTCAAGTCCAGCCTGGCCAACATGGTGAAACTCCATCTCTACTAAAAATACAAAAATTAGCTGGCCATGGTGTTACACACCTGTAATCCCAGCTCTGTGGGAGCCTAAGCCAGGAGAACCACTTGAACTTGGAAGGCAGAGGTTGCAGTGAGCTGAGATTGCACCACTGTACTCCACCCTGGGCAACAGAGTGAGACTCCATTTTGAAAATAAAAAGATGAAAAGAGAACAATCAGAAAAGAGCCTTGGATTGTCTGGGAGGAAAGAAAACATTAATTTTAAACTTTGAGTCATGCATGATTGTTAAAAAAATTAAAGATAACCAGTAAAAAATTAGATTGAGATTCTCTAACTTCCAAACCAGTAGAGAAGGGGAAAAGAAACTTTCATAAATCTAATAAAATGTAGGAAAAGGAGAAGAAAATAAAGCAAGGAAAACAGATATACAAACTACATGCCACAAATCCAGTTACATCAGCAATCACAATGAGTAGACTACTGTCAGATAGAACAAAATCTAGCTACATACTGTGTACAAGATACATACCTGGAACATAAGACATAAAATACACCTGAAACGGAGAAGTTGCTGAGGCCAGAGCACAAAGGCAAGGCAGGCCATGATACACTCTCGGCTCTGATTCCAAGTGAGGGAGAGAGCCATGACCTAAGTGTCCTAGCAGAGAAGCCACATGATGTGACCTGTGTTTAAAAAGATCTTTTCGGCCAGGCGCAATGGTTCATGCCTGAAATCCCAATAATCTGGGAGGCTGAGGTGTGTGGATCACTTGAGGTCAAGAGTTCGAGACCAGCCTGGCCAACATAGTGAAACCCCACTTGTATTAAAAAAGAAAACCAGCCAGGCGTGGTGGCCAGCATCTGTAGTCCCAGCTACTTGGGAGGCTGAGGCATGAGAATCACTTGAACCCAGGAGACAGAGGTTGTAGTGAGCCGAGATGGTGCCACTGCACTCCAGCCTGGTTGACAGAGCAAGACTGTCTGAAAAAAAAATTGTAAAGAAAAAAAGATTTTTGGCAGCTGTGTACAGCACAGACCAGGAAACTTTCTGAAAAGAGCCAGAAGGTAATATTTTAGGCTTGCAAACCATATGGTCTCCATGGAGACTACTCAAACCTGCTGTTATGAGGAAAAGCAGCCATGGAAAGGGTATAAATGAGTGTGGCTGTGTTCCAGTAAAACTACTTATGAAAACAGGCAGTGGGCTAGATTCAAGCCCTCTAGTTTGCCTACCCTGGAACAGACTACAGGGGACCATGGGTTGGTAGGTAGACCAGGTGGAAGGCCTTGCAATTAAACAGAGCCACAGGCAACTGTCACCTGGAACAGGGGTAGCAGGGAAGACGGTGAGCTGTGGTCCATCAGGGCATAAGACAGAGGCAGAGCAGACAACAGGACTGCTGATATATCAGATATGGGCATGGAAAAAAAGAAGGTTTGGGCCAGGTGCGGTGGCATGCCTGTAATCTCAGATCTTTGGGAGGCCAAGGCCTGATCACCTGAGTTCAGGAGTTCGAGACCAGCCTGATCAACATGGCAAAACACTGTCTCTACAAAATATACAAAAATTAGCCAGGTGTGGTGGCACATGCCTGTAGTCTCAGCTGCTTGGGAGGCTGAGAAAGCGAATCACTGTAATCTAGGAGGCAAAGGTTGCAGTGAGCCGAGATCATGCCATGGTTCTCCAGCCTGGGTGATAAGAGTGGAAACACCATCTCAAAAAAAAAAGTTTTGTCCTGGCTAACTGGAAGAACAGCTATTTTCTGAGAGAAAATCATGCTAAAGAGGAGGCGGGTGGATTAGAGATAAAAATCGAGTATATGGATTTAGTCATGTTAAATTTGGGATATTTATTTTATATCTATTAAAGACACAGAGTTGGATATAGGACTTGGAGCTCAAGAGAGGGTGGGTTTACAGAAATAGGTTTCCTAGTCTTCGTTTGTTTATATAGTCTTGAAAACCACAGGACTGGATGAAACTGCTCCATCTCTGTTCAGGCATTAGATTCTCATGAGAAGCATGCAACCTAGACCTCTTGCATGCACAGCTTACAATAGGGTTCATGCTCCCAAAAGAATCTAATGTCACTCTGGGCCGGGTGCGGTGGCTCAAGCCTGTAATCCCAGCACTTTGGGAGGCCAAGGCGGGTGGATCACGAGGTCAAGAGATCGAAACCATCCTGGTCAATATGGTGAAACCCCGTCTCTACTAAAAATACAAAAAGGTAGCTGGGCATGGTGGCACGTGCCTGTAATCCGAGCTACTCAGGATGCTGAGGCAGGAGAATTGCCTGAACCCAGGAGGCGGAGGTTGCGGTGAGCCGAGATCGCGCCATTGCACTCCAGCCTGAGTAACAAGAGTGAAACTCCGTCTCAAAAAAAAAAAAAAAAAAAACACCAAAAAGAATCTAATGTCACTCTGATCAGATGCTGGGCTCAGGATTAATGCTGGCTAGCTAGCTGCTCACCTCCTGCTGTGCCGTCAAGTTCCTAATAGGCCATGGAAGGGTTCTGGTCCTTGGCCGGGTGGTGGGGGGCCCATGGTTTGAAGTGTAATTTTTGCAGACAGCTTAACTTGCCCAAGGTAACACAGCTCTAGGAAGGGGTGAGCTGGCTAGACCCCGGCTCTTTGCATGGGCTGTGCTGCCTCCCTGACACGGCTGACTTCTATAGGGTTAATATACCCTCGTGTGTGTCCATTCCCGCCAAAGGGTGAGGGTGAGGCTGGGGCTAGTTGTAGTTTTCCAGCCAGCAGGGAAAGGCGCACCATGGGGAGGACTGAGGCCTGGAGCGAGGCAATGGTGACCGGCTGCGTCTTCTTGTCCTCCCGGTTTCCTGGAGGCAGGATCTCCACGCGATGCATCTCTTCTTTGGCCTTCTCCCCTAAGCAAATCTGAGCAGGTTGAAAACAGACAGAGGGCCCTCATCACCCTGAGGGCAGATGGGAGAAACTCACAGCGCCCTGTCTGGATCAGAAAGTCTCCCACTCCATCCTGCTCCCTCTTTCGGGCACATGTACCGTATGAAGCAACAGCCTGCAGCCCTGCTTCCCCTCCGGCTGGGGTCTGAAGGTCCAAGTCCGCCTCTCGTGACTGAGCTCACAGCCTGCGGAGGGGAAAAGAAGGGAAGTGGAGCCCTCCTTCCTCCGCAAGGAAGCGGCTCACCTGCGCCGCGAGCTGCTGCGCACCGGAGGTGGGGCGTGGCTCTGGGAGGGAACCTGGGTCTCCACTCACCCCAGAGCACGGTCGTCACTGCCTTTTCCTCCGTGCTGCTGGTGCTGCTGAGATTCATGGCTCGGGGCGGAGGAGCGGGATGGCCGCGCAGCTGCAAGGAGGACGCCCGCGTGAGGCCTTGCGCCCCGACCCTCGGCTGGAGGATACCAGAGGCCAGGAGGCATCGGCAGGTACTGAGGCGTCGCTGGCGGCCGGGGAGCGCCTGCCACGGTCAAGGGCTCGCCAGCCACTCCTGGAGGACGAGTACCCACCTCCCAGCGGGGCGCGCAGCCGGGGCCCGGCCGGGCCCGCACAGGACTGCGGGACTCACGGGAGAGGGAGCTGCCCACGGAACCCAGGCTTGAAAGCCCGCGGGGAGATCACCTGGCTGCGCTTGGGCCTGACTCAAAGACTCTGTGGACCTTCTACCAGGCGCAGAGAAGGGGGTGTGCGTTCGGCTTGGTCCCAGCTCCCCCACCCAGCCTTACCGTCGCTGCCCCGCGCGGGACCAGTCACGCCATCTGCGCTCCCGGAGCGCAGTGCAACCTCATCCCCGCTGGGCGAAGGGCGACTGCCCATACCCGGGCTAAGAAGCCCCCGAAGGGGCAGGACAGGTGTCCAATCAGCCGCAAAAAAGCCGCCTGCCTCTCCCCTTCCCTTCTCCCGTTCTCTCCTCGGTGCGGCAGAATCACCTGGAAGGCTGTTAACGCGCGCATCGCTGACCTCCACTCCGCAGCTGCCCGTGGCGTGGGTCTGGGTGGGGTCGAGGGAATTTGCATTTGTAATCAGTTCCCAGGTGAAGCTCATGAGGCCGGCTCACGACCCTTCGTGAGGGCCGCTGTTCGGCCAACGAGGGCCGGCCGAGACCTCCTGGCGCCCCCACCCCAGCCCGTGGAGAGGAAGCCTTAGCTCAGCTTAGGAAGGGAGGGCGGCAGCCGGCAGGAAGCGGCAGGTAGAAGCGCTCCTTCTTGTACATTGCTTTTCTTTCTTTCCTTTCCCCGTGCCTTATACAGCATGGGCCTTTCCTAAGGCCCAGACGGCCCGTCCTTCCAGTCTCCAGTGAGAGAGAGAACCCTGTCTCCTAAACGGTGAGATCTCCGGCGGAGAGCCACAGCGGGCAGGTTGGGTGGAGAGGTGAGCGGCGAGGCGCCGCAGCTGGGGGTGGGGAGCGCGGCCAGCGACGCTACAGAGCCAAACACGCGACCAGCAGCGGGTCCCAAACTCAGTGGGCAGTGAAGAGGAGGTGGAGTTTCAGCGGATATGCCCTGGAGACACCTCAGATAACCAGGAATCTCTCGCACACACCTGGGACAGGGGCTCATTGCCACAATGAGGTCAGAATCTTTTATTTCTGGAAGCTCGGGTCACCTTCCTTGTGAACTGGCCCAGGACAACCCACAAGAGGCTTGGGGGCCTGCCAGAGCCCCCTGAGGCTCCCTGTTCCCAGCTGAGCAGTTCCGGTCTCCTTGGCTGTCCCTGAGCTCTCTCTCCCTGGCTGGGGGCTTACTGGAGGTGACAGCCATTGCAGCCAAGTGTGCGGTAAAGATGAGCAAATGGCAGGCAAGTGCATGCCACGTATAGACGTTCAGGTATTCCTTCAACAAATGGTGATTCGGGCCTGGCCATCCCGCAGTGAATATCACAGAGCCCCCTCGTAGGGCGTCCAGCCTCACTGGAGAGCAGTGCTCAAAGCACACTGGCTCTCCGTGGCCCCAGACTACCCTCCCCATGAATAATCACACTGATGTGAAGCTGCAACTGGGGGTCACAGTGAAGGGTAAATGGAGGCAGGGAGGGAGATGCCCCTGGGGTCACGATCTAGAGCTGGGACGCTGGAACTGGACAGCCAGGATTCAAGTCTGCACTCTGCTTTGTGATTTCAGGTGTGCTAATTCATGTCTCAGTGCCTCAGTTTCCTCATCTACTAAATGGGGCTGCTATACTGGAACCATCCTCATTACCTTTTTTTTTTTAACTGATACATATTAATTGTACATATTTATAGGGTACATACGATATTTTGATACTTGCACACAATATGTAATCAGCAAATCAGGGTAACTGAAGTATCCATCACTTTGAACATTATTATTATTATTATTATTTTTTTTTTTGAGACGGAGGCTCACTCTCATCACCCAGGCTGGAGTGCAGCAGTGGTTCGATCTCAGCTCGATGCAACCTCCGCCTCCCAGGTTCAAGCAATTCTCCTGCCTTCCAAGTAGCTGGGATTACAGGCGCCCACCACCATGCCTGGCTAATTTTACTGTTTTTATAGAGATGGAGTTTTACCAGGTTGGTCAGCCTGGTCTTGAACTCCTGACCTCAGTGATCCACCTGCCTAGGCCTCCCAAAGTGCTGGGATTACAGGTGTGAGCCACTGTGCCCAGCCAAACATTTATTATTTCTTTGAGTTGGAAACATTTCAAATCTTCTCTTCTAGCTATTTTGAAATATACAATAAATTCTTGTAAACTGTAGTCACCTTACTGTACTATCAACACAAGCCCTTCTTATTGCTATCTGATAATAGTATGCTTGTACCCATTAATCAACCTCTCTATCCCCCCAACCACTTCCTGGTCTCTAGTAATCATCATTCGACTCTCTATTCCCATTCCCTTTCTTTGTTTTTGGCTCCCACATGACTGAGAACATGTGATATTTGTCTTACTGTGTCTGGCTTGTTACAGGTAACATAATGGCCTCCAGTTCCATCCACATTGCTGCAAATGACAGGGTTTCCATCTTTTTTTATGACTGGATATATTTCATTGTGTATACGTACCACATTTTCTTCTTTTTTTTTGAGAAATAGTCTTGCACTGTCACCCGAGCTGGAGTACAATGGCACAGTCTCAGCTCACTACAACCTCCACCTCCTGGGTTCAAGCAGTTCTCCTGCTTCAGCCTCCAGAGTAGCTGAAATTACAGGTGCCCACCACGCCCAGCTAATTTTTTGTATTCTTAGTAGAAACGAGGTTTCACTGTGTTAACCAGGCTGGTCTCGAACTCCTGATCTCGTGATCTGCCTGCCTCTGCCTCCCAAAGTGCTGGGATTACAGGTGTGAGTCACCTCGCCCAGCCTCCACATTTTCTTTATCCATTCATCTATTGATGGACACTTAGCGATACCATATCTTGGCTATTGGAATAGTGCTGCAATAAACAAGGGTGTGTAGTTAACCCTCCTTTTCTTTGGATACTGATTTCCATTATGGAAAGCAAGATGGAGATTTCTTTAAAAACTTAAAAATAGGACTACCATATGATCCAACAATCTCAGTATTGTGTTACTTATCCAAAGGAAAGGAAATCGGATACCAATTTCCTAGGAATCAGTATTTCTGGGATTATTTATCCCAGTAGTGGGATTGTTGGATCATGTGGTAGTTCTATTTTTAGTTTTTTGAGAAATCATACGCTTTCTATAATGGCTGTACTAACTTACATTCCCAACAACAGTGTCTAAGATCACTTTTCCATATCCTCACCAGCATTTGTCTTTTTGATAACAGTCATTTAACTGAGGTGAGATGGTATCTCTTGGGGTTTTGATTTGCATTTCTCTGATGATTAGTGATGTTGAGCTTTTTTTTTTATTATGCCTGTTGGCCATTTGTTTCTTTTCTTTTGAGAAATGTCTATTCGTGTCCTTTTTCCGCTTTATATTACTTGTTTTTTGCTGTTGAGTCATTTGTATTCCTTGTATATTCTGGATATTGTTTCCTTGTTAGATGAATAATTTGCAAATATTTTCTCCCATTCTGCAGGCTGTCTCTTCACTTTGTTGACTGATGCAGTTTTTGGTTTAATACAGTCTCATTTGTCTGTTGTTGTTTCTGTTGCCTGTGCTTTCGAAGTGTTACCCATAAAATCTTTGCCTAGACCCATATCCTGAAGCATTTACCATGTTTTCTTCAGTAGTTTGATAGTTTTAGGCCTTATTCCATCCAAGTCTTCAATCCATTTGAATCCATTTTTGTATGTGATGACAGACGGGGTCTGCTGTTCTTCTCCTTAGCAATAGCCAGTTTTCCTAGCACCATTTATTGAAGAAGATGTCCTTTCCCCAATGTACATTCATGGTGCCTTTATCAAAAAATCAGTTTAAGTACGTAGATTTATTTCTGGGTTCTCTCTTTTATTCCACTGGTCTGTCTTTGTTTTTATACCAATACCATGCTGTTTTGGCTACTATAGCTTTTTTTTTTTTTTTTGAGAAAGAAAAAAAGAATAATAAAAAGAATAAAGAAGAGGAAGAAAGAGAAAGAGGAAGAGGGAGAGAGAATGGGGGTATTGCTTTATTGCCCGGGCTAGAATGCAGTCTAAATATGGGTATGCCTATAATTGACCTTAATAATGGAGACATAAAATAAAATGAGGGAAGAGAATAACAAACAAGGAGCCAACCAACATTTCGTTTAAACTTCTAAGTTGATATGATGTGGTACTGATAAGAGTGTATATTTCGTATATTTCAAGTGGAGAGTTCTATAAATGTTAATTTTGTTTACTTGTTGCAGATCTGAGTTCAAGTCCTGGATATCGTTGTTAATTTTCTGTCTCATTGATCTGTCTAATATTAATGTTGAAGTCTCCGACTATTATTGTGTGGGAGTCTAAGTCTCTTTATTAGTCTTATATGTCTGGGTATTCCTGTATTGGGTGCATACATATTTAGGATCTTTAGCTCTTCTTGTTGTTGCATTGATCCTTTTATCATTATATAATGTCTTTCTTTGCTTCTTTGGATCTTTGTTGCTTTAACAACTATTTTATCAGGCAAAAATTGTAACTTCTGCTTTTTATTTATTTATTTTAGCTCTGTTTGGTTGGTAAATCTTTCTTCATCCCTTGTTTTGAGTCTTCGTGTATCCTTGAATGTGAGATGGGTCTGGATGCAGCATACTGATGGGTTTTAGTTTTTTATCTAAATTGTCTGTCTGTCTTTGAATTGGGGGATTTAGTCAATTTAAATTTAGAATTAACAATGATATATGTGAGTTTAATACTGCCATTTAATATTAGCTGGCTATTTTGTCCATTAGTTGATGTAAATTCTTCATTATATTGATGCTCTTGGTATTTTTTAGAAAGGCTGATACTGTTTATTCCTTTCTATGTGTAGTGGTTCTTTCAGAAGCTCTTGTAAAGGAGGCCCGGTGGTGATGAAATCTCTGAGTGCTTGCTTGTTCACAAAAAACTTTACTTTTCCTTCACTTATGAAGGTTAGCTTGGCTGGACGTGAAATTCTGGGTTGAAAGTTCTTTTCTTTAAGGATGTTGAATATTGGTCCCCACTCTCTTCTGGCTTGTAGGGTTTCTGCTGAAAGATCTGCTGCAAGTCTGATAGGCTTCCCTTTGTGGGTAACCTGACCTTTCTCTTTGGCTGCCCTTAGTATTTTCTCCTTCATTTCAACCCGGGTAAATCTGACGATTATGTGCCTTGGAGTTGCTCTTCTTGAGGAATATCTCTGTGGTGTTCTCTGTATTACCTGGAGTTGAATATTATCCTGCCTTACTAGGTTGGGAAAATTTTCCTGAATAATATCCTGAAGCGTATTTTCCAGCTTGGATTCATTCTCTTCGTCACATTCAGGTACACCTATCAAGCGTAGATGAGGTCTTTTCACATAGTCCCATATTTCTTGGAGATTTTGCTCATTCCTTTTTATCCTTTTTTCTCTAATCTTGTCTTCTTGTTTTATTTCATTGAGTTGGTCTTCGACCTCTGATATCCTTTCTTCTGCCTGATCAATTCGGCTGTTAAAACTTGTGCATACTTCACATAGTTCTTGTATTGTGTTTTTCAACTCCATCAATTCACTTATATTCCTCTCTAAATTGTGTATTCTTGTTAACATTTCGTAAAACCTTTTTTCAAAGTTCTTAGTTTCTCTGGATTGTGTTAGAACAAGTTCTTTTAATTCAC